TACGGTGATCCAGCCTGGTACCAAGGTTACCACTCACCCTACTACAACGAGTCGCATGCCGCCCTTAGGGCGGAGGTTAGGGCTTGGGTGGAAGAGAAGATTGAGCCTTACCTCAACGAGTGGGAGAAGGCTAAGTTTGTACCGGTTGAGATTTACCAACAGATGGGACAGCGCGGGTACCTCGCTGGGTATGCCCCCTACCCCCCCCTTTCCCATAGTTTCTAGCATGACAGATTACTGATATTCCTTTTTTGCAGTCTCCTCGGTCTCCACTATCCCGTAGAGTACACCCCCTACAGGATCGCCGCTGTACCACCCGAGAAATGGGATCTCTTCCATGAGTTCGTCGTCACCGACGAAATTTCACGCACTGGGTCTGGTGGTTTTGTCTGGAACATGATTGGAGGGTACGCCATTGGTCTACCTCCCGTTATGAAATTCGGCAAAAAAGAACTTAAAGACCGCATCGTCCCTGGTATTCTCAAGGGTGAAAAACGTATCTGCTTATGTATCACTGAGCCCGATGCGGGCTCTGACGTTGCAAATCTCACTTGCGAGGCCAAGAAGACCCCCGACGGCAAGCACTATATTGTCAATGGCGAGAAGAAATGGATCACCAACGGTGTCTGGTCCGATTATTTCACCGTAGCCGTGCGTACAGGCGGACCTGGAATGGGCGGTGTCTCTGTCCTCCTCATTGAGCGCAGCGAGGGTGTCACAACCCGCGAAATGGACTGCCAGGGAGTTCACGGATCAGGAACTACATACGTTACATTCGAGGACGTTAAGGTTCCCGTCGAGAACCTTATCGGCAAGGAAAATGCTGGGTTCAAGGTCATCATGACAAACTTCAACCACGAGCGTGTTGGAATCATCATTCAATGCACGCGCTTCTCACGTGTTTGCTATGAGGAAGCAATGAAGTACGCTAACAAGCGCCGCACATTCGGGAAGAAGCTCATTGAGCACCCCGTCATCCGCATGAAGCTCGCAAACATGGCAAGACAGGTAGAGGCTACACACAACTGGCTAGAGAATATCATTTACCAGTGCACGCAAATGGGAGAAACCGAGGCGATGTTTAAGCTTGGTGGCGCTATTGCTGGGCTCAAGGCTCAGGCGACGGTCACCTTTGAGTTCTGTGCGCGCGAGGCAGTCCAGATCTTTGGTGGTATTGGATACACCAAGGGCGGTCAGGGTGCCAAGGTAGAGAGGCTGTATAGGGACGTCAGAGGTTATGCCATTCCCGGAGGCAGTGAGGAGATTATGTTGGATCTTAGCATCAGGCAGTCCATGAGGGTGCACAAAGCGCTGGGAATGAAGTTGTAGTTTTAGGGCGTGCTTTCTTTTATTTTTGCTTATTTTTTGTAACTGATCATTGCGGGAGTTTTGTTTTATCTCTGGTTATGCCGCTGTGCGCGGTGCTGTTTTTGATTAGAGAGGCGAATATCATGATACAATTAAGAGAATGTATTTACTGTATGATATGTGAGGAAATTCCACGATATATCAAGCTGCGCCCAGTGATAGTCAAGTAGCTGTGATGACAGTTACTCGAACCGGCGTAGATATGGTTATCCAAAAGGATCTACAAACGTGGGAAGCCAAAACCGTCACTTCTTGCTACCTTAATCAGGTTTCTACACTTGAATACGCTAGACGCCTTCACGGGGGTATGGTTCTCACGGGGGTATGGTGCAACGTTCAAGAACGTCAAAAATGAGCATGGAGAATTCGAGAAAAATCAATAGAATCCTTATTTTGCACAGGGAATTGTATCTATAAGCTTTATTTGCTGATATTCCTCGTATTTTTTGTGCCCATTTTTGTCGTTCTTAGTTGTTGCACAATACCCCGTGAGCACCATACCCCAGTGAAGGCGTCTAAACGACTTATCTACAAATGGACATGCTATGTATGTACCCATTACTGGTACGTATTTACACCACCAGAATTGCGATAGTAGTGAGCCCGTTCCCAGCTTATAATCTAGTATGGGATATCTCGCGATTGTGTACTGAATAAAACGTTGTATCGAGAAAGTGATTAGAATCACTTCAGAGTCGACCGACCTTGTCACAAATGCAAAACTGGTTTCGAATTGAATAATGTCCTGCCTGGTACGACAACCGGCCAGGAGGTACAAGACTGGGCACGATGTCAAGGAAAAAATCACACCACCCCACAACTACATGTAAGATAGAGACAGATCATTACACACGCGGAACAAAAAATTACATGTAACCTTCCTTTTTCTCAGTCGAGTGATATGCTGTGTGTATTGGGTTAGTTAGGGTTACATGTTATACACCCGACCGCACGAGGCGAATATTCTCTTGGGGTAATAAATTTCTTAAAACTTGTAGCTTTCCGTGGTGAGAGCGGCCGGCCGTTAAAACTACGGTTTTGGATGGCTGTTTGTATAAGTCAGACCATAAAGATCATGAGGGTGCAAGAAATTCCCTACCTACGTCTAGTTGTCATAAGACCTCCCCCGTTCTTTTTTTCCACATATATTTGCTGATCATAAATGCTTGGGTTCTAAGATAATATGAAACGAATTAACATATAACGAGCTAGCTCGCTTCACCCCGTGAGAAACGTCAATCATAATTTGTCACTCGCTCCTGTTTCTTAAATTCATTAGGAGCTCCTCATCCTTTCGGCTCCCAGAACAAATGAGTCGTAAAACCCACACCTGAGAAGGGTGGTCGCAGACTACCGTAAAGGATTGAGCAAAGCTGAATGTTCTTATGGCCGGATCATCTTGGCGGTGAGACTTCTGTATGTCGTATGTGTATTTCCCGTAACCAAGGCTGCCTATAATATTGGCAACTGTCCCACATGAAGGGGGCGAAAGAGGAAAGAAACGTCGAGACCTGTTGGCGACTCTAGTTATATGGGGATTAAGTTCCGTCGACTTTACTAGGCAAAGATGAACACAATTTCAATCTTGTTGATGTGCGGTCTTCGAAATAGCCAACACCGTCTAGATCTATTGGCCATCAATCTCTTATTATTGTCAGCGCCCCTAATTCTCTTCCCTTGGGAATAACTAATCTTTCGGTGGGTTTAGATAAGATAGGGCTCCATGTAGTCTCGTGTTCAGCCTGTGGCGTGATTCTCCAGCACAAGAACGAGGAACGAGTTGACAAAAGTCTGGGCATGAGACTGGGCTCCATGCACAAAGTGATCAAGCTGAATTACATGTATGTACATATGTCCACTGCGCGTGCATGCAGTGTGATATGCGGCTTATTCTGATCTGTACTAACCGTGACGTTGTTAGCCCCTTGATTGCTCGAGAGTACGACTACTACATGTACTAACCGTAACCTTAAATTCTCGGAACATCGGCATCCAGCTTTAACCCCGTGTTCACTTCTAGCTAACAGTTCCTCTTTTTCATTTTTCTAACAGACAATCCTACAGATAACATATAGTTTTCAGTTCCCCAAAATACTTTCCGTCTAGTCACGACCTGCTACAGAATATGGGGTTAACTAAAGACATAGTAAGAAATGACTCCGCTACTCCTCAGCTATTAATTACGTATATACTCAAAGCCCCGGGCTAATATACTATAGTCACATTTAGGGCCACGAATAACCCAGGACAGCAATGAAAAGGCAAATTTCGAGATATGTTGGTGTTGGTGATTAAATATCAGCCTGAGAGTCAGTATTTTGGCTGCCGACATCCATGTTCGTCACCCCTAGGCGCTGGGACAACTTTACGTACAATACCGAGGTCTCGAGGGTTTTCAAATTTCTCTCCACTTTTGGTTCTGAAAGACAGTGAAGCCCCGCACAAATAACAAGGATCCGGTAATATTCTAGACCTGGGTCTTTATCGTTAGTAACTCAACGTATACGTACCCTGTGCTCGTTCATGTTTACGTACAAATGCACGGGGAAAACGTGGCATTGTAATCTCGAACTCGCCATGATGACGAGTACTCGAGGTTCAATCAAGGAATTTTCTAAAAGGGATCAAAATTCCTGCCCTGATCCACCCTGGCCCTCACCACATGGACTCAAGGAACAGGCCCTCAGGGAAAAATGGCAATCCCCCGGAACGGCACGGCAAATCGAAATAAACCAGGAGTAAATCCCGGGGCAGGAGATCCGAAATCGTCTATCTCTTCATTGTGGTATACTAGCGAGGTGGCCCTCGTTTATTTTATATTAACTGCACCCCTGGAGATGATGCTTGTCTGCGCGCGGGACCTCTGCATCACTGGCGTTGCGGGGTGTTATGGAAAGTTCCGAACTCATGTGCGTAAGTACATGTAGGTACAGGTATGTAGGTACGTACAGGTATGTTGGATGGGTCCGGATATGCAAGACTTCGGTTTCATGTTTATCTTGCATGCGCAAAGAACTGACTAGTGTCTATATGTAGTTTTTGGTTAGGGCGTTGGTTCCTATCTGTCTGTGGGGGAGCGTAAATACTCTACTTGATCATGAGGCGGGTACATACATGCCAGCCAACGGTTTATATAGGGGAATGAGTGGCTGCAGGTACTTAAACTTCATATTATGTAGATATAGACATGGGTTCACACGTGCAGTTACACTAGCGGCCTCGGAAAGCAAACGACAACAATATGAAAATGAGGCGAAGTCACTTCTGTTACTCGGGTGGAAGTAATTTAATTGAAGGGCCTGCGTTCATGAAGTATCACTCGATCTAAAGTTTCTCTTAAAACTACATGACGTGGATGAATGAGTCCAATTTGTATTACGTGAGGCATATGTACAAGTATCATATAGAGAAATTCTATGAGAGTCGTCTATGTTGGTGATCAATAATACATGAAAACTAAAGAAAATTCGTTGACAGTATGGTCACTGCCGCTATCAGTAATGGCCTGAAAGAGAAGAGTGTGGTCCATTGAACTTGGCAACAAACCTAAGTCCATACAATCGTACTTAAACCCAAACGCCTAATTTCCCGAGAAAAACCTCGGCCGAAGAAAATTGCATATATCCGATATTTTATTTCTTCCGCTTTTTCCTCTTTGTCGCCGCTTCTTCCTCCTCCTCCTCCTCATCGCTACTGCTCTCCCACCAGCTGACCCAATTACTCATACTCCCTGCACTCGCCCTCCCAAACCCTGCAAACGTGGCTACAGGGGCCCCCAGAGCCGGCTCTGAAGCCGCCTTATTTTCTGTAATCGGCCGTATCTTCTTCCTTAGCTTGTTGGATATCGACAGTGGCCTCGGCACAGACATTATAGTATCCATAAACGGTCGCTTTCCCCTGGCGGGAATCCGAGGTGGATTTGACTCCAGCGACGTGATCGAGGGCGAGCGATAAGCCGAAAATGGAACCGGTGAGAAAGGCGCCCCAGGGGTAGACGGCTGGGACGACACTGAAACTCCCTGATAAGTGCCCGACGACGGCCCACAGAGGCTAGGCGTGGGCGGTACATTGGCGCTTCTGCCGACAGTCCGTGTGGGGTGATCGTTATCCCAGGCCGATGTCGTGACACGGCTGCTGTATGTACTGTCACCTGAGCCCAGGCGGCGGTGCGACGCGCTGTTGCTCGGACTGTGGAATCGGTTTAGCATGGTTCCCAGCGGGCTCCCTACTGCTGCGTTCCCGTCGAGGTGGGGGAGTGTGCCCTCGGATTTTGATTGCAGTGCGTTCTGCATGGGGAGTGTGGTCGAGTCGGGGCGCGGGGCGTCGCCGAAATGGCTGATGTGGTCGATGTCCTGCATTTGCACGGAGAGCATGTGTTCTACTGCTGGTCTGTTTCTTTTCCAGCGCTTGAAGCAGCAGACGGCGAGGAAAGAAAGGACTGTCAAAACTACCACGCCGATGACTATCACGACGATGAAGATGGAGCGGCTGAGGCCGGCTATTTGGAATTGGCTGTCGGAGTCTGGCGGCGGAGGGCCGGAGGAGCTGGGGGGTGGGAGGAGGGTGTTTATGGGGGCCGGCGATCCACTGGGGTCTGGGCCGTTGGAGTTCTGTCTAGCATGGAGAGACTTTTCGGCGTTTGTGATAGTTTGTGAGAGGAAACATGACGCTCCGTCTAAGCCAACCCATTGTGAGCGGGTTGTGGCAGTCGGTGGCATACGAGTGGTGAGAACACGGTGGATGGGGGATTCTGAACCGCAATTCAGGGTTCGGTCTGGGGACTCTGATTGATTCTCGAGGTATCTCAAATGATAGGTAGGTGATAATGGACCAGAAAATTGCAATTGTGGAGGATGGAGTAACGCTATGTCAAGGAAGGAAAACAGCACCCATGGTCGCTTTAAGAGATACTGCTTCTAAAGGCGATATGGTTATCCGCATCCTTGCAGGCTAGCTACGCAATATTGGAGGCAAGGAAATTATATAGGCCAAGGTAAGTAATTGCATGTATATGATATAGTAAAAATGCAGCTAGCGCCTTTAATGACTGAAGGCACAATCCGACGATTCCGATCTCAAGAACGTACATGCAGGTAGAGTAGGGTAGGTACGTATTCCGCTTAAGATGAAATCGGTTCCAGATGTAGCGTATAGATGAGGAGGGCATGAGGCAATTAGAATATTCTGTTGCATGAACCCAAAACAGAGGCGGGAACTTAAGTCCAGACTGGTTTGTAGGCTGCGTGCGTGGTGGCACAGGAAAAGAAGCAGTTAAAGCGGGGTTGAATAAAATATACATGAAACCCTTTGACAGCTCTAGACAGGGGGTGTTCAACACAGGCTAGAGACCCTCTTCTCTTTCTCACAGTAGCTGAGACGGTGACAGGGGATGCATGTGTGCTGCAGCTGGAAGAACCACCCTTGTTTTTTTGACGGTTCTCCCCCACAAAGATTCCATGCCGGCCTTTATCCAACGGAACGTCAGTTTAGGTTCTGGAAGATCTGTGGACAGGTGAAACCATGTCGTATGCGCGAGTCTGGATTTGCAAGAGCCAAAAAAAAAAGAGGATAGATTGCGAGTAGTTCTAGCTGTATGTGGTAGAGTGTGTGCTTGATTTATCTTCAGACACTCCTGTGACTATTATATACATAATGAGATAATTATCTAAATGAAGCCACATTTTTCAAAACCATGCGCAGAAACTAGAGCTGCACTGCGCTAGCCACATATAGTAAAACCCTGAAGCGCCACGGCGAGTTAAAACACCTACGTAGTACATATAAGAACTCTGACTCGTAAGTAAGTAGGATTGGGGATGATGACGTTGCTCTGCGAATGTCGTAGAGTCGAGTCCGACCCGGGACTACTCTACTTCATGAGATCTGCCTCGAGAATAATAAGTAAGCAATGCCTGGAGTTTTTATGTCTGCTTAATCCTGAAGTAAATTTCAACGAGTAAGAGCTACTACTTGTGGAGAAGCACCTCCAACCCGAAAGCCGCTATTCGTAGCCGCTATTAATTCGTAGACCCTAACAATTACGACCAACGTGGCTAGCCCCAACAACTACTGCGCCGTTGCCAAGAGAATAGTTATTACTCTACCCTAACCCAGGAACGAAGGACCGTGCGCGAAATAATATCTAACCCACTATTACTCTCACCACCAGATCTGCAATAATTAAGAAACGGAACAAGTTTCTCCACCGCCGTTGAGGCTGAAGCTCCCCCCTAGGCCCTTCCGGGAAGAAGACGATCGTGTTCCGGGGTTTAATTGGGGCTTCTCGTGCTTAGGCGAAAGGATCTACCCGTATCTTCCGACAGGATCTACAGGAAAACAAATGACCGCGAACCAGACCAGCACGGAAAAAGCTTCGAGTGTGGTTACTTATTGATCTGTTTTGTTTTTGTTTTTTGTGTGCGGCAGCGGTGTTGGCGAAGGGAGTGTAGGAGTGGACGGAAATAGAACTGGCAGGGGGGAGAGATGATAGGGGAGATCGAGGATAAATGCAATGTAGGTACTCTACTCTCTTTATATATTGGAATATGGAATATGGAAAAAGGTTATTTAACGAAATGAGATTTCGGGGAGGGGGGGGTATCTATGTAATTGAGTGTTCCCCAATCCGATACAATATCAAGAGTCAACTCGTAATAGTGTACGTACGTAGACGACACGAAACCAAAGCAAACGACTGAAAACCCGAAACTCCAAGTTCCCCCCGCAAAAAAAAGAAAAAAAAGAGAGGATACGTCTAAGTTAGTCTAAGCTAATTCAATGCGAAGCTACTGCCTCCGTTCCTTCTTCTCTCGTACCCTTGCTCTTCTAGGCTTGCCTTCATTACATACTCCATCACTATCTTCTCCTCGGCGATCCTTTTCGCCTCTTTCTCCTCGTCAAGTCTCCTGCTTTCCTCAATGGCTTTCAATAAGTCCTCATCGCGCTCGTCGGTCCTGCCCTGCGGCATCTTGTCCTGTCTCCTGCTCTCTCTAAGTGCTCTTTGTAGCTCGTCTTCATCGTCTTCTCGGGCCCCTTCGGCGAACACCTCGCTTTCTCTTAGAGCCCGTTCGAATTCGGCTTCGTCTTGCATTATGTGGCCTCCTCGCTCGACGAGACTCTGCTTCAAGGCTTCTTCAAGCTCACGATCTGCCGCTACCACACCAGTCTCTTTGTCATAGGATTCCCATGCATCTGCTCCACCACTTCCTCCCCATCCTCCCCTTCCTGCGGCATTGAATCTGCTGGTCTCGGCCATCGAGGCTCTAATAGCGCGCTGGTAGGCTTCTTCCTCCTCATCCGAGTTCTGCGTAGGATTGTTCCTTGCCACGTTCTGCATCTCTGCAACACTGGCCCTGATCGCCGCCTCCACGGCCGCATCATGCTGTGCATTTCCCTGCGATGTCACCCGGACCGATTCCTGAATGGCCCTCTCCAGCTCGTCATCGTCGTAGGACGCAACCTGCTGTAGCACACCGGGAGTATACGGTGCAGCCTCTGTAGTCATTTCTGTCGTGGGCGAGCTAATCTCCATCGCCGTCGTCCCCGAATCATGGGGATAGTGGAGGGACTCGTTGGTCTTTTTGCGCTCTTTGCCCTTGCCCTTCATGAACCCGCCGTTGAAGACGTCCTTCATGGGCCGCTTGGGCTCGATTCGTACTGTGGCCCATTTGGCGAGGGCGGCCTTCTGCTCGGAGAGACTGCTCTGGTGCAGTTCGGCTTCGGAGATGGCGATGCGCGAGCTGAGGATGTGTTTGTCGGCATCCAAGACCTGCAGCTTTTGGATCTCGCGGTAGATGCCTTTCATTGTGTAACCCGGAACACCCCAGAATGCTTTTAAATTGAGTTAGTGAATGGGGCTTCCAAAAAAAACAAAGTTGGTGGGATGTAGAATTGAGGAGATTTTTACCTGCTCCGCCTTTGAGGAAGACTCCGCCGAGCCCCTTGCCAAAGCCTTTGACTAGGCCCACGGCTCCGTCCTCTTTCGCGCCTCGGATGGGCTGCGTGACGAGGCCGGAAACGCCGTCGTAGAGTCCGAGTGTGAGTTCTTTTCCGGCGGCCTTCATGCCGCTATGGAAGCCGGTGACTTTGTCAACATCTCGAACGTTATCGCCATACAGTCTTGGCGCGTTATGGAAGCCTTGGGCAAGACTGAGGGTGAAATCCATTGGTGCTATAGGAGGTCAGCTTCTGATTCAAGCATTGAAACAATTGAGTGGGAATTGGACATACATTTTAGTCCTGCTTCTACAATCCTAGAAACACCTTTTCCAGCGCCCAGCGCCATCTCTAGACTAAAGCCATTTCCACTACCCTGACTGTCACCGGTGGCTACTCGTCTCAGCGGACCCCTTAGCTGTAACGAGCCCGGGCCGCTCATGGACTTTGGTGTCGAGGTCCCACTCAGCGAAGTATCACTCCTGTGCCCCTTCTCGCCCAACATACCACCGACGGCCGAGGGCTCGCCACTCGGCGGCGAGGAGTCGCCTGCCTTCTTCACAACCTTGAACATCTCCCGAGGGAAGTCTCCCACACCCATCATGACGCTCCCGATCGTGCCGAGCAGCGCCCCCGCGGCGCCCGTAAGCGGCTCATAAGGGCCCACATCCGTCTGCCACTCCTTATGCCGACACAGCTTGAACCCGCCCCAGCCGCCCTCAACCATCCCATTCGAGACCAGCAGCGCGGCCGCAAACGAGCTCAACGGCGCATCATTCTTCTTCAGCCGCCACACCGCGGGCCGCGACTTGTCGATGACACACCTATACACGCCGCCGTTGCCACCGCTGTTCGCCAGCCCCGCCAGGAACGTCTTTGCGCCGACCTCCGCGCCGGCCTCATGCCGTATGCGCTCACCCAGCTCCCTCGCGCGCACGCCCACCTCCTCGCTCAACGCCGTCTGTATGCTCTCCGCCAGGATCTCCGCCGTCAGCTTCTTGAACGGCACCGGGTCAGGCCCTGCGCCCGCGCGCGCGACCATGGACCCCCAGAAGGGCTGGTCGCCGAAGAAGGGGACGATGACGGTGGGCTTTCCGCAGCGGATACCAGCGGCGGTGGTGCCTGCGCCGCCGTGGTGGACGACGGCCGCGCACCGCGGGAACAGCCAGTCGTGCGGACAGTTGCCGAGGAGCATGACGTTGGGTGGGGGGGCGAGGTCGGCGCCGCCGAGGCCGCCCCAGCCCTGCGAGACGAGGGCGCGGACTTTGAGCGCGCGCAGGGCGGTGAAGAGGAGGTTTGTGAGCCCGTTGGGGTCGTCGACGACTATGGAGCCGAAGCCGATGTAGACGGGGGGTGGGCCGGCGGCGAGGAAGGCGGAGAGATCGGGCGGGGGCGTGTAGCTAGAGGCGAGGGAGAGGAAGGAGAAGCCACTGATGGAGATTTGCGAGGGCCAGTCGAGGGGCTTGGGGATCAGTGTGGGGGACCAGATGTAGGTGTGTGGGACTTGCAGACGGGAGATCATGCCCGGGGCCCACATGGTGCTGATGGGATCGAGACCGAGCTTGGTTTCGCGGAAGCGGTTGACGAGGTCGCCGAGGCTGCGGGGAGTTAGTTATGTTTATTTTGGGGCGGGCATGTGCCGAGTGATCGGTTATGATGCGGAGACTTACCCTTGCCAAGTCATCATGTCGACGAGAACATAGCTGAGATAGTTTGTGACGCCGCTCTCCGCATTGGAACTCTGGATATTTGCGAGCGGGTGCGGGAAGGCAGTCGTTGGTGACCACGGCATTCTAAATCCACATATCAATCATTAGCCCACCAAGCCCAAGCAAGTAGAGCCACCGTAAAAAACAAAATAGGTAATAAAACATACGTAAACATCAAATGCAGCGGTATTCCCAGCTTCTCAGCGCAATGCACATGTCCAAAACTAGGCGGATTGGCAATGATCGCATCTGCGATAAAGGGCTTATTCCCCGCCGGGTCTCCGACGCCCTCGGGAGTGCCGTCGCCTGGCTCGATACCTAAGATTCTGTCAGCCTCTGTCCCGAAAATGGTAATAAGGGGGGGTTCCGCACATGCTTGCCAGCCGCCCAGCAGTATCTCCCACATGCCCTTCCTGCGCTTCGACACGTCCCCGCTGCGGAGACTATCCATGCCCGGCATCAACCCCGGATTCTTGACCATAAACGCCATCTACCTCCCCACAACCACATTAGCCCCCATCCCCCATCCCCTTTCCTCCTACCCCACAACACAAAGTAGAAAACTCACCAACTCCGCCGGATCCCCCCCAATCGAAAAAAACTCCAACCCATTCTCGACGACAAACTTCTTAAACGTCGGATGCGTGGCCACCCTTACCCTATGGCCGTACTGATTCTTCAGCACCTGGCCCAGCGCAACAAACGGCTGCACGTCGCCCCGGCTGCCGATGATCTGGATCAGGATGTTGAGCGGCGGCACGTCGCGCGCGAACTCGGGGACGCCGAAGACGGCGCTGGGGTCGGTGGGCTTCTCGGCGCGCGCGCGGAAGGCGGCCTTTTCGGCGAGGTGCATCTGTGCGCGCATCGCCGGCGCGAGGAGCGTCGAGAGGTGCCCGCCCTTTTCATGGATGTGGATGTTGACGCGGCCATCCTCTGCGGCGGGGGTTAGCTAGGGGGAGCGGGGAGAAGGGGGCGGGGAGGGGGACAGACCAGATAGTTGCGCATGCGTCGACATGCCGTCCTGCGTGATGTCCAGCTCGCCATAGGTCTCCGTGTATGCGGGCGGCGGCTGGTCGCCGGGGCCGCCGGAGTCGGGGGTCTGGTCGTAGCCGCGGTTGTCGTCGGTGCTGGGGCGGCCGTTGGGGCCGATTGTGGGACCGGCGGGGGTGGAGGAGGTGATGGAGGGGAGGGAGGCGTAGGAGGGGGGTGAGCGCGGGGGTGCTGATGGGGACTGCTGGTAGTGGTGCGGGGGGATGGGTGGTGGGGGGGGTGGGGGTGGGGGTGGGGTGTAGTGGCCCTCGGGGCCGTCGGGGTGCTTTTGGTCGGACATGGTGGGCGGGAGGGGAGCTAGCTTGGGTGCTTGCTTGCTTGTGAGCTGTGAGGTTTAAGGATATGTGTAATGGTACTGGTGCGGTGTCAGCACTGGAAGCACTGGTTTATATCAGCTTCAAGATACACAGATGGAATTAAGCATGAAGAGTACAACTGACTGTCCCCCATTGCAGGTGGTGACAGCTCTTTTGAGTATTTGTAGCTCCGTCTCTCTCCCTGTCCTGCTCTCGTTCTCCACAGCCAAACAGGGTTGCAGACGTGACGAAACGAATACGAATACATACTAGCCTGCAGGGTAGTTGTGGGTACGCGTGGCTATCGTGGCTGTGCAGGTTGTTAAACGTCATCAAGGGCGTCCTGCCTGATAAGATAAGATTAGCGAAAAGCGCTCCAGGATGCGAGTGGGAAGCTGTGATGCAAACCCGAATACGGGCACCGAAACACCGGAGGGGAAAGCGAACACCGCAAGGGATGTTCTTGGCAGGGGGGATATGAAAATAGGTATGTACCGACCGATATGTGCTGGTATGTGCTTCTAATGAAGCTTAAAACTCGGGTATTGTGATGATTGAGGAATAGGTGAAGCAGTGTTGAGTTTCAGAAGGATGTATGGTGACCCACGGTCTTGTACTTCGCAGGCACAGACGTTGAGGTGAAGTCCCCGGGAAGCCACGTAAGAGCTCAGCTCGTATTAATATATCCCGATGGCTGAGTACCGCTGAGCACCGACAGACACTTCCCGTAGTCACAGCCTCCGTACATGTACTAGTACGTGCCGACAGTCACTCATGAGCTGTCACGCAGAATACGTAACATATTGTGCTTATAAGTTACATACATATATATCACAACTGCAAACGTGACAAAATCGTGAAACAAGCGGGTACATATAAACAAAGTGTTCATGTAGCCTTCTTGTAAGGTGGTCTTTGTAACGGTGTCCACAGTCTAGCCTAGCTAGACGTGTCACCTTTATATCTACAGGTACATGTAGATACTTGACTTTTACCCCCTCTTCGTAATTGAACCACCCGTCCTAATACCTAGTGGGTCTTCTTACACTTCTTCTTCTTCTTCTATCCATCCCTCTCTTGATCCTTCCTTCCTTCCTTTCCAACCTCCCTCATCGATTCGGGTTATTGGATTTTGACGAATGCCTTAGTTACACTAACTGCCCTATTGGGGAACAGGGTTTTTGGCGGTTCATAACCGGTGTCACTAATCGCATTTGTATTAAGTACATACCCTCAATGTTTCAACATACACAGCTCGAGATCTAGGTTCTGACATTTCATTCAAAAGCAATTCGTACCAGGTATGTTCCGACATGGTTTCACAGGCAGACCCGGGCTAGCTCCACAAGCAGTTCGGTGCTTTTTTCTTTACGAGCTTCTATTTTTTTTTGTTTTTCTACAGTCCCCTAACCCGAAAAGGTACTGGGTGAGAACAAACAATGTTTAACATTCAAATTGGGTAAGGGTTTCGATCCCTCCGCAACTACATACATGTAAGTACATACATCACCTTTGTCAACCACTTTTTTTTTCTTTCCCCACAAAGCTTAATTGGTCCCCCCAGCAAGCCATCACAATCACATGTGTAACACTACACTGCTGCTGCTGCAAAAAAAAAATGCAAGCCTCGTTGAAAAGACAAATTTTTTTTCCCCTGGCCTCCTGGACTTTGCGATCCTACTATACAACTGTCGATGTTCCTGAGCGTACCTGCCTGCCTGACCGACTGCCTGTATGTACTCTCCCGAGCACCAGGAAACAAACAGACATGTAGGGCGAATCGATCACCGAGGGTTGGTTTGTAAACATAGCTGGCCGATCGGTCGCATTGGAGTATCTATGTATGTGGAGTACCTACATACCGCAGCCTTCCTGACATGACAGGAATTACATATTTCCGATTCCGATGTTGGACACTGTTACTTTTTCTTTTGTTTCTTTGTTTCTTTCTTCGACCGTTAAATCGATCGTGGGATATCAACCAGCCCTGTCATTTCCCGATGCGACGGACGGGTTGCGGATTTCGAAGTGAGCTGGATATCGATATCGTGATTGCTTGGACGGCCATTGCTGCTGCTGCTGCTGCTGTACCCACCTACATACTTTTACAATGTAGTGGAATGCATCTGATCTGAAGCCTACACACAGGCCAGGCTCATTGCGTTTGAAAAAAGAAGCAGCAAACCAGGTCATGAGGATTAACAGCGTTTTTCCCCACTCGATGTACGATCGTGAAGCTGCGAACGCGAGCGAGGATTACGAGATGCCATTACGGTGCGGGGGGTTGCACTGGACGGGCTGCTTGCTTCTCTGAACTGTTACTGACCAGATGGGCGCCGCGCATCATCGTTCGATGCCGCATTAATTTCGCACAGGAACACTCGTTTTTGCCCTTTATGCTGGGTACGTACTACTGTTTGTTGTTAATGTGCTATACTTGGGAGAAGACACGGGCTGAAGGAAAGAAATAATTCGAAAGAAGGAAAGAAAGGGGGTAAACGCTGTAGAGAGCGGGCTAAAAACATCATCGAATAGAATTACAAAGCTTAACGACATCTATTCTCGACACTGGGCATACCAGTGCCGTGCTGTGCGGTGCTGTGCGGTGCTGTGCGGTGTGGTCGGGGTCGGGGGTCGGGGTCGGGTCGGATATACATCGAATCCCTCCCACGTATCCTATCCCGCGCATGTTTCTCATTCCCATTCTCAGGCAGGTATGTAAACCATCCTCAAACAACACCCAAACAAAACAAAAACCCCAAACCTCAGGCATCAGCACACATGATGTTTCAACCTCGTTGTCAATGTCAGTGTTAGCTGTCTTGTCTCACGACGTTGCACCAAAAAACAAAAACAAAAAAATTGATTTTCTCCGAAAAAATATATGAATCAAAATCAAATCGGGTGACATGGGTGAGGTGTGTGTCTTAGATTTGATACCTCGGGGCGTTTTGCGGCCTTGGAATCAACTTGGTGGGAAGAGTCGGTCGTGGAGAGTCAGGGCTGGGGAGTCCTGATTAGCATTCTTACTCTAATTTGGTCCTACTACGGAAACATTTATTTTTTTTGCACTTAGGCCGAGTTATCGTACTACCTACCGTACTCTATACCCAGCTACCCCAGGCTCTGTATCTGTATGCGAGAGAAAGGGGCGGGGGAGGGTTCTGGAGACTAGCTAGGCGGTCAATAGGATTTCGAGAAATCTCTAGGCCCTGGTTTTTCCTGCTCTGCTCATGCAGTATAAAATTACAAGATAGATCGCTAACGTACGCCGGGAAAAACAGGAAAACAATTCCAACACTGCACAGCAGATAAAAAAAATAAAAAAAAATAAAAAAAAAGAGAGAGGAAATATGAGGAGACGCAAACTACTCCTACAGTAATTATCATGCAGTGGGAACAGTACCAGCCCTAGCAGCCTTGCAATTGATTGCTCAACACTGGTAATGTAATCCGTCGGATGTCATGTCACACGACTGTCGTCTATCCTCTCCTAGAACCAGCAGCTACAGTTTACCGAACGTATCCAAATTTCTCGCCTGAACAAATTAACGGAGAGGTAGCGAGATACGATTGCAATTGCCTGCCTATGGATATCTAACCGCAGCCTACGACGGTCTATCCAGCTAGCCAGCTAGGGAACTTGTCCTGCCCGCCCGCCCGCGCGCACGCCCACTATCGCATGTTGAGCGATTTTCCCAATTGTTGCAGACTTTTTCGAATGTAAACATCCGCACCGCACCGCCCAGAAAAGGGTTCCCATTCTTTTGTGCGACGGGAGAAAAAATAAAAAAAAAAAAAAAAATAACTGGGGCCCTCTGCTTTCACCCCCCGGACCCCCCGGACCCCCCCAATTGAGTTTCCAATCAGACTGTGAATAAATATATCGCATTTATGGGACAAGATGCTGCGGCGACAATTATTTTTTTTGGACTTTGACGTCAGGGTTTTTGCTTTTTGGGAGGCTCTCTATTGGTGGGGGGGCGGAGGGGCGTTGTGGGTTGGGGTTTGGTTTGTGATGGGTAATAATTTTATTATTTGCCCTTTCCCTACTTTACAATTTACTTTTACTTGGCCAAAGAGGTTGGATTTTTTCCTAGTTATTCGTCATCTTGTCTTGGAATATATTGGGGATTGCTGGGTTGGGGGAGAGAAGTCGATAAGGTCGGTACGGTAACCAAACGCCGACAGCTAATAATTGGGCAGGGCATGGCGCATCATCCGAAAATGCAGGCGTTTATGAGGGTTGATCTACAACTAAGACCCACTAGTAGTACGTCTACTGCTGCTGCTACGCTACTGTCAGTCATGGGCAGGGCACGCGTTCCTTCACCTGCAAGGATTTTCCAGATTCGAACTCTCTACAGCAATCAAACCTGAACAATGGATCGTCCAGAAACGAGTTTCGGTACATGGCATTACTTGGTTTTTTTCTTCCAAGGTTCTAGATTTTCCAACTGGGCCCCCCGTAGGTACAAACACGTAGAGTAGGTACGGTACGGGTACCTCCAACCAGCAACAACCTACTACAATCAATCAATCAGTAGTGATTGTTAGTGGTTTTCGCCCAGAAATTACCGCCCTGGATTCCCGCGGAATGTGGTGAAATTCGGGGATCACCAATTGAGCTCCTTGCTACTGGATGGAGTCTCTGGAAAAGGGCAGATCAGTACAGCGGCCGGCTCGCTGGCTGTGTCGCCGAAGGGGGAACTCCCCCCTTAGATGTGCTTGCTGCATTCACTGGTAGAGTAGAGTACTAATCCTAGGTACGTACTAGTACTGGCTGTAGGTAGAGTGCTCTACCCACAGACATACCCTATCAGCCTAGGACAAGAAAGAAAGAAAAAATTATAGGCACCTTGCTGACATTATTTGTGGTACCTGTAGCTCTCTCTGCTCTGCAAACAACCACCCCACCACACCTAACCTGCATCCATCTGCGGAGACGACTTACCGGAACATCGCGCCCCAATTTCGCCTCCACCTATCAGCGGGATGTTCATGTAGCCCTATTCAAAAGATAACTAACCCGCTGATTCCCTCCTACACTCCCTAATATAGGCATCCTGCCTACACTTTGCAACTATTGAGCATGAGAGCTCAGTGGGATCATCCCTACACATCTGATAATTGACCCTCCCCCACCAACACCACCCCCTCCCCATCCCCCCGGCGGCCGGTGAAGGGCATTGCAGATAAAGAAAAAAAAAATTCACAGGCGCTCACTCGGGACTTGGCTAAAGGGGGGCGTGTTGCAGATATAAGTATCGCTACTGTTCCGCCGTGTTTTGTTTGAAGAAGGACAGCACGAGAGTCATTCTTACTCAAACATCAAACACACAAAGCCCTACACTGCTACTACACCTTCCTCAAGGAACGAATTCCATTCACTCACAAAGTTCTCAAACAAACAACCCCAAACACTCATCCACCATGTGCACCTGCTCCCAATCCGTCGACTACGACTACCACCGCACCACCCGCACCCTCCCCATCATCGAAAAATCCTACGACCGCCACTCCCACCCACACTACTCCACCGCCGCGCGTACAACACGCTACCACGCCTCCCCCGACGCCTACCGCGGCGCCGCCGCCTACACTAGCACGAGCACCCGTATCCCGCTCTCTAGCCGTAGGCGCTCCACCACGCCTCCCCCCGTGCTGATCCAAAGCACGCCCATGGGGCGTTCTGAGCTGTCCCCGCGCCTCAGCCCCGGCGGCCGCTACAGCCGCAGCAGCCTCGACAGCCCCACGTCCAGCATCCGCAGCGGTGAAATGGGCTTCAACCAGCCGATGGTGTTGCAGGCGGACGGCCTCGGCCCCGTGATTCATCAGGGCGGCCCGCCGTCGCACTACCAGGCCGCGCACAAAACCGGCTATGCGCCGCATGTTCATGCGGGCGGCGTGAGGGCGGCGGGGCAGAGACGGTATACGGTAAACCCCGGAGGCGAGAGGGTCAGGTCGAGCTATATTGGGTATCGGTCGGATCAGGGGTCCAGTGATGATGGGTATGCCAGTGGCGGAAGGTTGTATACGAATGAGGTGCGGAGGAGCTATGGTGGACGGAGAGAGGGAGAGGGCGTCTATAGCTCTACTCCTGTGAGGAGGTATTCATGAACTTGACGATCGGGTATTTTTAAGGGGAGTTTCATTTGTTAGGCTGGGGAATTTCGGCGGGGATAGCTGGGGGCGAAGGTTATCGTTGTGTGCTTTTAGTGTATTTTTTAGTTTTTGTTTTCTGTTCTTTTTAATTTTTGGATTAGTAACAGGTTGTTCTTCAACTACAAGCCATTTCCTTTTTTGTTAACGTTTAACGCTTTTCTTTTGTTATTTTTTGCTAAGCAAAGCCACCAATTCGGTTCAATATGCTGGGGGTTTGATGATGATGATTATGAGGGATGAGGGATGAGGGATCGACCGGAAGAGTTTTAAAAAATTTGTTATATGTACATGATCTATTTGCTAGCCTGCTTTTTTTCTCCCCTCTTCGAGGTTTCTGTGTAAACATTCATGATGTTACGTCTCTCACACGGTTTACGTTTACGTTCTATATTTTACATTTTTACATTTACGCTTGCTAGAAATTCGAATTCCACAACAGGTGTTTGTGTTGTAGATGGCTTATTATTTTTTTTGTTAATACAGAACCAATGATCATATTGCACCATTTTCCACACCCACCCCTCCCCCGCTAGCTCGCTGTGTAATTTTGCCTCAAGTGGCCGGTTCGGTTTGGTTTTCGTCCCAGTGCCATGTACCACTGTCGTCCACCCGCCAATGGGGTTGCAGCGTGCTTCGCCAAGGCTGGCTGGGTAGCTAGCCTCATGTAGCGTAGAGTAGAGTACGAACAGACAACATGCCTGCATATGCGAGTCATGTTCATGGCTGCATGATACTCTAGCTTTCTTGGAGAGTAGCCGGAGGGTGTCGTACTGATGCCGTGGAAAATAATTTTTGAAAGACTTGTAGAACAGACAGGACAGACAGCTCAAAGCAAAAAAAATTTCAGCCCTAGTGATTAGGTCTGCGTTTTTTCCCACTTATCGCGAACCCAATTTTGGGGAGGGGCGCATTAATATGCAAATGTACGTACCGTACGTACGTACGCGCGCTGCCGGATATATATATAATTATATCATGGCATATATACCCAGAGCGCTAACTATGTAGTCTGGTATGTAGTAGAGAGAGAGAGAAGTCTACCAATTGCAACCAGCCAGTAGGGCTCTTCTCTTGTATAACATGTAGCTGCAACTTCCATCACGAGGACCCTAGATAGCTGAAGTCGAAATTTCTCGGGGGTATTAGGGAGTTTTGTTCCTGATCTTGGCAAACAAAAATACTAGTAATCATAAAAGGGAGGGTTAGGTTACGTATCAACGCATGTACGTAGAAGTTTTTATGCAGGTATTTAATCTAAGGCAGTGATATTCGCTAACTACCACGCGCGCACACCACCACACGGCAGTAGTAGAGCTGATAGCAACACAGGAAAAGCTTGGTCCCGTACCAATGGTATCACTTTATGAACAAAGTGGCCCCAAATTGGAAGTTATGCAGTAGATTGATGCTAAGAACGGATAAAATGTTGGCTTGGAAGGATGCCCGGTCATCCCTGTAAACGTTTTTCTTTAAAAAAAATATTGTTTCCCATTCAATACTCACATTTTGAACTTCAGGCAAGTCAATTATATAGTGCTGTGCATATGGTTGCCGGTACTGTCAATGTTCCCCTCCCCCTCCACGCCCCCTCTCGTCCCTCGAGGAAATAGTCAACCCATCTTTGGGAATTGCTGGGTTTAAACGAGAGCTATCTCTTCTCTTGCATTCACCGGCCCTTACTTTGCCACTAAAGAATGAGGCTGCAGATGTTGATATGTATGTTAGCCATGGAGCGAGGTCATTCCATTTACTTTACGAGAGGTTCTGATCAGCTCATTTTAGGAAGGTGCGTTTTATGCAGCCAAACTTAGTCCTCCACGTTATTGGCAGGTTTTGTTTCATGAACATCTGCATGCCAGCAAGCACCAAGATGTTTGCTATCATGTGAAATTCCCTAAGCTCCGGTCTCGAATAACTTACTAATCATTCGTCTCACGCCATCAAATAAATATATTGCCCAATGAAAGTGAGATCCGTATTAAACGTTAGATTTGACCCTGAAGCTACGCAGAGTGCCGTTGCCTGAATATCAATTATTCTCGCTACTGTATTCATCAAATCGCCTTCAATTCGAGGGCCAATTTGGCCCATGGCCTTCAGCGAATAGCAATGAATAAAACCTGATTTCAAGATTCACCACGCTTATCGTGTTGCCCAGAAAGCGGGAACTGTAGTAAATTGTCTCAGAAAGCCGATCTGGTACGTATCCAGAAGAACAATTGGACACGTAAATCACTGGATTTGGCCTGTGGACTTTTCGACTAATAGGCATCGCCTTACACCAAAGTGCGGGGCAGCTGCAGCTGCAGCTAACATTCTGGTGATGTTGTGAGAGGTTAGGTATCACCAAAATGAGGTTCAATTCGCTGTTGTTAACCTGGGCCTGCAGCCGTTGATGCATCAACCGTTGGCTAGTCAGAACCTTGTGTCCTATCATAACCTCAGGGGTGAGGTTATCTATATTATTATCCTATATGCCAGTATGTATTACATACTTGACGTGCATGCCTCCAGATGAGCCCAGAACTTGGAGATGGTGCCCAGGATGTAAGTAATAGATGGTTATCGGCAGATGTACCCGTACTTTCTTCTTAAAGAATAATTTAACCTTGATATATAGTTTGAAGTTGACTCCGTATTTCTCACCCATGATCCAGGAAAGTGGGACTCGAGCTTGCAGGCGCAGGTCCAATGGGATTACGCATCTTTGATTGCAAATATATTTCCTTTAACGTCCATGAGCGGACGTTCAAAACTTGGCGCGAACATCCGCAGGGAATGCGTGTGTAACTAACTGCATAACGGAAGCTTCCTCCTGGTGTGCAATTGAGTTAAAAATTGCATCATATGTAGGGCTAAAGCTCGCCCATATCGCCAGTCAGCCCTTGGCAAAATCGAAGACGAAGACGACATCCTACAAGTATGTAGATAGATTTGTTGTCTGAGCTATTATCTCCTTTTCTTATCCTTTTGCATTAGAACCATTGTTCGTTGGTGAGTCAAGCGTAAAAGTTAGCGGTTTCTGTTCCAATGAGAATTCTCTGAATCTCGAGGCGATGTGGCGAACTCGAGGGCCTTAAAATCTTTGGTCTTGATAGTTATCTGTTATAAAAGAAATAGTAAATTTTGAGCAACATATCCCTCAGATGGCTGGACAGCGATGTCCGCCGAGAAATAACCCTAACCCATATGCATTGAATCTTTTTTTTTTTTTTTTTTTTGTTTAATTCATTAATTGTATGCAGACCGTAGTCTATGACAATACATGCATTGAATCTGGAAACGTCCATATTTTGCCACATCGCCTTCATTTATTTGCGGCTCCGGTGATGGGGAGATTCGAGAGAATTAATACTCATGTATAAAACGTTGAGCCCTCGGATCCCATGGCCCAAGAAGGGTAGATTGATGCCGATTGCCACTGTCTCCGATATTAACATCAGTTCAAATCCGATCCCTGAAGCAGCACATGGCTCGCCCCTGGATTGGATTGATATTTTGGAGCCGAGACAAAGCTTTAATTTCAAGTTGTGTATCTCTTGGGTCGATCTTTTGATACGGGCCGAGCCGACTCGGCTTATGATCACCCGAGTTTGAGTCTCGACCTCAAGATCCAGCTCTTGGACTCATAGGCGGCCGGCATGCGTAAAATCAGATGTTTTATGCACGTGTGAGTCGAGCCCTGCTGAAGAATCGAGGGTGGCCTGGAAGATTTAGTCAAGATTGATATGAGAACGAGATCTTCATCCAGCTTGGCCCGCGGCCATAAAAAAGGGAAAATCATAAACCTTAAGTACCTGTTAGTAGAGATGGCAAGATGTGAGCTGGAGACGTGGGGGTAATTAACATTGATTGAGGTGTGGTGCACGCGTACGTGGAGTGGGGGAGAGGTCGAGACTGAATATATGTTGTGGAAGCTTGAGGTGAACGTAATCGTAGAGATACATACTAACACTATGGCGGAATAAGGATGTCAACCCTGCACACACCATCTTTTTGAAAAGATTTCGCACGGAAGCCACAGTTCGCCACAGGAGTATGGGCAGCAACAAGGCCACTAAGACGGATCAAGGCAGGTGTGCCGCAGGATTGACATCCTACCCGTACAGAGCTTCTTCTGCCATAGCCAGATTGTAGCTTGCTTGCTCACAACGACGTTGTGTGACAGCAGCCAATCAGAACAACGCCTCTATCACAATGCCAACATTATAATTACCCCCCACAGTGGCACGAGAAGTAGCCACCTCCCTCCCTCCTTCTCTCCCAGGAGGCAATTTGTAGTAGCCTTGCTATGAATCACCATTCAAGCGCCCAAGTACCGTTATCGGAGAGAGATAGTGCAGCATAGTATTTCCTTAAGAGGATGTTACTCAGGATCTACACATGCATCAACCTAAGCAGCCCACCTTTGCACAATCAGTCTATCGTCGTCATGATCTATCACTCGGTGATGCTTGGCATATCTCCTGGTCAGTGCGTCATCATGCACGTGGCTTTCATATATATCAAATACGGGCGATCGACAACCGTTGATCTGAGACAAAGTGTCCCCCACGACGCGTTCGATCTTACTATCGTCACATCCCTTCGTCTGTAGCCGGTTTTCACAGCTTATTAGTGTGGAGATACCCATCAAGCTAGCTGTAACTGGGGCTATAACGCTGCCAAAACAGGGTGAACTCGCTCCAGAGAAGAAAAGACCTGCTGAAGGAGGGGTGACGAGCGTTACTCTTCACACCAGAGAAGCTTACGGAATCAGGGTTAGGTCTACCTGAGGAAGATTCTGCCCAACCGAGTTAATATTTCCAGTTTACAGCATTAATTAGAATGGCCTAACATTAGAAAGTAATGAATCGATGGGCATGAGCAGCCTAGGCTCCCATTTTAGAGACAAAGGCTCATATCATATGGTTCGAGCCCAGGGGGTCTGGATGTAATTAAACTCAAGTCCTGGAAAATAGTATTCACTATAGATTTTGCCGTCAAAGGTATTCAGGGAGGATTTATTGAATATCGACTTGCCCGCATAAGATCGGTGAGACTAAATGACTGGGTCTTTTAAAATAGTCATTTACATGCATGACCACCGTTAATAAATGACTAGTCATTTAGAGGTAAGTGATCTTTTTATTATTTATTATATATTTCAATTCTCAATTATATTATTTACTGTAGATACGGTATATCTCTGTCCGTCGTGTCTGCTGGTACCGCTGCTCCGCCACTGCTGCTGCTGCCACCGTTGCTGCTGCCACCGTTGTTGCTGCTGCCACCGTTGCTGGCTGCTGCCACCGTTGCTGGCTGCTGCCACCGTTGCTGGCTGCTGCCACCGTTACTGCTGCTGCTGCTGCTGCCGCTATTAGCTATAGTGGTGGTTCTTAGTGGTGGCTATTCTAATTATCACGATGGATTGACCCACCTTGGTACTATTAATGATGGCGATAGCGATAGTAACGGTGGTGGTGATATATTGTGGCGGTGGGGGGCGAGGTTTTGGAACGAAGGGAAGGGAGAGGTATCTTTATAGCGGGAGGATCAGCAATATTAAGGTTTCACTAGCGTAAAGTTAAAAGTTTCACGGTCAATTCGTAATAGTAGAAAGAAGAGGCATACATCTATCCGAGACAGGACTTCCTATCGAAGCAAAGCCAAGTCACGTTTCCTCGATCGAATGATGGAGCGTGGCGTAGTGATTAAGCATCGTATCAGGCTCAGTGACTTTGCCACTGGAAATCACTCCTGAGATGGGAAAATTCTGGAATCTGCGTGTCTCACTGGCCCCCAAGGGATAGATTCATTAAAAAAAACAATCTTGGTTAATACTAGCTCCCGTAAAAGATCACTCGGTCTCTAGATCTGAGACAAGATCTTTCAACAACCCTAACCCTGTACTCGTAGCCGGCCTCCCATTGGACGGAGTCTGACTACAGTACGCCGAGAATGGGAGCAGATAGGGACAGACCAAAAGAGTAGCATGTAGTAAATAAAAAGTTCCCGGTTAGGACACCTCTTTCTGCTAGCCAATGGGCCCACTCCCAATGTTTCCAACCATTCATCTCGTGAGGTGAACTTAGCACTGATTTAATTGAGCGCTGGCTTCTCGGAAAATTAAAATCCGCCAGCAAAAACTGCAGCAAGTCAGGGGGGGGATGGTTAGGACCACCCCGTACGATAACCGCCTGACCCAGGACTCGAACTTGGGGGGCCGCTGATACAGTGTCCTAAATCAATGTTAAACCCCCCCCCCCCCCCAACCCAACACAGGGGGGGCCCGCTCGGTGGGGTTATCTTTATCTTTGCTTTGCCGAGTCCTAACCAGATCTCCACTAAGATTATGAAAGCATATGAGCTTAGCAGAGTATCGGATTTGGGATCAGTATCCTTTTCCCTCTCCTTGATACCCCCGGGAGTAGTGTGGCCCATGGGCCGAGACGGCTCGAGCTTTCGGCTCATTCACAACCGAGCCTTACTGCCCAGCGAGCCCGAGGCAGCTCGAGCCCTTTCTCGTGGCTGGCTTGAGCCGGCTCATGGAGCCTAATTTTACTTATACTTTGATATGTCCCGAAGAGTTGCAATGTGGGAACTTCATAGGCTTACCGTCTTCCTGGGGAATCTGACCCCCCCCTCAAAGTGCAGATGATGGTTCCATGGAGCTATTTTTTTTTTCCTGCTCTTTGATCTTGATCTTCGTCAATTCCTGGTCTTGGCAGAAGTGTTTCCTGTTATATCGATCATTGGCCACCGGCTCGAGCCTTTTCATGAGCCCCTACCAAAAGCTCGAGCTAGCTCGAGCCTAGTAGTCAAAAGGCCGAGCCGGCTCATGGACCACACTATCAGGGAGCTATGTGTATATATTCGGAGCCATCAGCTTGGCAATGGTGGCTACTGTACATACTCTGTGCGAGTCAACAGGCCCAGAGACCCCAGGTGCTACATAGCTACATGTAGTTGAGTATAAAACGCCCAGTTCAATACTAACACATCCCACTCAACGTGATGTTTCTAGGACTTCCTGGACAACCCATTCTGCGCAAATGTTTTTGTTTTCTAGTAGTTCTATCAAAGCTACAACCCGCAGCCCCTAGCACAAAGCGAACCACAAGGCCTAGGACTGGGTAATAGGAAGGAAGACAACCAAGAGGTTAAACCCATTCCTGTACGTTCGTGGAGAGTTAATTGGAATGTAATAGGCGTTAACCCCAAGGCCAACACTCCCTTGCCAAAGACCGCACAACCACAGCTCCCAAGCTAGCCCTCAAACCCCCCGTCCACCACAACCAAGCCAGCCCATTCCAGCTATAAACCAGGCGCATTAAACCCCTCCAACCACCGAAAGAAAGAAAGAAAGAAAGAAAAGAAAAGAAAAGAAACACGCCTCAAATTCCCCATAGCCTACTCCTCCCTGCTATAAAAATTATCCACCACGACCCTCAAGCCGCTGCCCCAGACGCCAATCGCCGCATATATATCCCTACTCCCGTCGAGGCCCTCAGCGGGGTTCTTCCCCCGCTGCGAATCCATCTCCTCATACAGCCTCCAATCCCCCGCCGGCTTCCCATCGCGCGTCACAAAGATCTCGATCCCCCTGCCGCCGGTGTCTACGGGGAACCTCATAGCTATCACCCCCACAGTCAGCATTCACATCCACACCCACACACCCCCCACCCCACCACCCCCAAACAAACCACAAACAGATAAAAAAAAAAAAAAAAAAACTCACAAATCCCAATCCTCTCCCCCGCCCTAAACGGCGCGCCAAAGTCCCTCCCCCCATGATCGTCATTACAGTACCTCCGCCCATCATCCGAATGCACGCCCAAGCTCCCGCGATGCCACCCGGGCAGCCGAAACAGCGGATACGGCGCCGCCAGGAAGCCGACGGCCACCAGCGCCGCCTCGCGCGGCAGCGCCAGCACCATCACCTCGTACCCAAACACGCGTGCGCGCCGCGTATTCGCCGGGTGGTGGTAGCCGGCGGCGAACAGCGGGGCGGCGCTGGCGAGACATGTGTCCTCCGTGCCGCGCGCCTCGACCAGCACGCCGCCGTTGACGGCGGCGACGGAGCCGCGGAAGTGGCGGGGCGGGGGGGCGAGCGGGAGTGCGGCCGGCGGGTGCGTGGGGAGGGAGGAGAGGAGCGTGTGGGGGAACTGCTGTGGTGGGAAGAGGGGGTTGAGGGCTGTGAAGCGGTGGCCGGCGGAGGAGAGGGCGCGGGTGGAGTTGAAGGCGGGCGAGACCTCGTGGGGGATGCTGGGTGGCGGGGGGAGGTCCTCGGGGGTGGTGGAGGAGGGGGGCGGGAAGGCGGGCGGTTTGTAGCCGTCTGTGTAGGTGCTGGTCGGGGAGGGGGTGTAGACGGGCGGGGCGCCGTCGCTGGCTTCGCTGTCGTGGGGGTAGGTGCTGCTGCTGCCGCCGCTGGGGGGGAAGGGGGGTGCGGCGTAGGTGTGGGTGTTGGTGGGGGGCGGGCCATAGCTGCTCTTGTTGTCCGGGGGGTACTCAGAGGGCCCGTAGCTGCTCTTGCTGTCGGGGGGGTACTCAGAAGGGGGTGGGCCGTAGCTACTACTCCCGTTATCGGGGGAGCACTCGGAGGGGTGCGGGGCGGGCGGGAAGTTGTAGGCCGGGTTTATAGGGCGGGGGGGGGTGTTATCCTGCGAGCCCTTGAGCTTTCGGGACCATTTCTTCAAGTGGTCCATGTCTGCAGCTGTGTCCTGTCCGTAGATAGGCAATTATCTGTAGTGGATAGGCAAGGTAAGTATCTATATCCGTGAAGACTCAGGCAGGTGGTGGTGGTGGTGGTGGTGGTCTATACCAAACGTCCGTGATCGTGCACGTCGGGGAAGTCTTGTAGTATTTATTTATCATGAAACACAGCCAATCCTGCATGACGCAACGTCGATCAAGCACCCGGGCGTTTTCACCGAAGCTTAGCCTTCGACATTCTAGAGTAAAATCCCCAGAACGCCCTCGTAGAACCGTCTCCGTCTCCGCCTCCGTCTCCCTTCCTCGCAGCTCTCCCCCGCGCGCGCGAGGCAGCACTGAGTTGTGGTCGTGACTGCATCCGGCAGCAGCACCAACTCTAAGCCCCACGGGACTTTGAAGATGATGCCTTGGCGCCCAGGCAGCATAGCCGCAAGCCTCCGTCATGGAATGTCACTCGGTGCGCTGCTCTAGCCGGGTGTGGTAAGGGGCGAGCTTTGGCTACATACATGTCGCTGCATGTAGCTAGCTCCCATGGCGAACATAAACACAACCCGCAACAGAAGCCCTTGCGACCACCACACCGCATCACCATCGTAGAGAGGCCGCCCAGCTGTATGTTTCTGTGCATGTAGACGCAAACCCGGTGAACGGATGGAACCCTACTTCTTAGCTACGTCTTCGATCTCGGATGGACATGTCCTCTGCCTCATCCGCCACTCCTAAGTAGTATTGAAACTCGACTGCGATATGGGCCACTACTAAGTACATGTGGCGCAAAGCACAAGAAATAAAAATAAAAAAGAGCTAAACCTTCAACTTTGGGCAGGCTTGGCACTCCCAGACACCTACACCCTGAGCAAAGGGCATGCACGGTAGAGGCCCGGTACCTGGACCTTGTTGATTCAAAACAACATAACTGTTAGAAGCAACAACCGCAATGACTTGTCACAGGTAAAAAGGTTGGAGTTCTGTCGAGGGACCATAACATTTCGTTGTGAAGCCAGTCTTGAGACTGTTTATATGCCTCCAATCCCTCTCTCTGGCCGTTATGTACTTGTGTAGTTAGTTGGCTTCTCGCCTAGTCTTCTCTTCCTCTACAAGCCTAGAAATCCTATCCATATACAGTCCGTGGGAGGGGAGAGGGCGATCTATCTTCCTTCCGGCCCTCCCTTTTCCGTGAATAAAACCAAAAAGCCAAAAAAGAATGAAAGCCCCTGGGAGGAATCGAACCTCCGCTACCCTAGTCGGGATTTCTCAGCTGAAGAGCGGGTTTATCTACGGACGGGTGTGTTACCACTACACTACAGGAGCTATGCTGCTAGTCGAAGATGTGCCTTGTTCACCACGGTGGTGGTGGTGGTGGTGGTGGTTAGCTTTCATACACGCCAAGCTAGTAGATTTAGCCAGAACACGCTTTAGACTCTAGAAGAGATACTACAGTCGAATCCCACACTCTGGATAGGAAATTGGCACCCTTGCAGAGCGTGGAAGGGCCAATTTGCAATTCCAAAACCTAGGAAGGACCAAGAAGTCGTACGATTACCCTTTTATATAGCAGATAACCCTTATAGCGAGATCCGACTGTACCCAAGTCTACGAACCCCCCCCCGGGGCCCTGATGCGACCTAACCCGCGGGAGCTTTCAAGGCCCCCCCCTTTCACCCACAATTGTCCAAAAAACAAGAGAAACACATCTCGCCCAGTCAAGTCTCACGCCCACCACTACGTCTCGGTGCCAGAGAACGACGGCAATCTTGGACCGTCACTGTTAGACCCGGCACACACGGATTATCAAACAGCTATATAATGGCATCGGTGGATGCCCACACCTATCCTACATCCACAAAGACGCCTGAAATAAACCACCCGCACCCCCCCCCCCCCCCCCGGGGTAGATGCGAGTGATACGCCATGAAGCCGGCGAAAGCACGTTGATATATGGTCGTAGTCTACCGCAATGCATGCCAACATTAACCCATAAGAGCGGAGCGGGAAAGAACCAAACCTCAACTTCTTGACGCCTGGATGGATATATTACATAAAAAGCCACTTTTTGCCATGGCTGGAAATCAAACGGACGTCATGTAGTCTATCTACCCTGAGGAAAAAGACCATCTAATCCAGCCAGCTCACGACTAGACCGTATGCAGCTCCACACCACAAACCACGAACCAACAAAAGAAAGAAAAAAGAAACCTCTATTTTAACATCACAAACACCCCCCCAAAACGCCTCTAAAACACACTCTCCCTCACCTCGCCCCTCCCCGTAGCCGGCCGATACTCGATCCACCTGGCCCTGCGCCGCTCGACGAGGCGGCCCGGGTTCATGACGTTGCAGCCCTCGTACGTGAGCGCGAACGGCTGCATGGCCGGCTCGCACAGCACCAGCGCCGTGGGCAGCGGGTAGAGCATCAGCGCGTGCCAGTAGTCCCACAGCACGGGGCGCGTGCCGAGCGCGAAGGGGGAGAGGTGGCCTTGGTCGAGGAGTGTTTTCACGAGCTGTGTGATACAATCCAGTCCACTCGTCAGCACCGCCCACCCTACGGTGCAGAGAAGCAGAAGAGGGTAAGTAGATTGTTGGCGGGGGGGGGGTTATCATACCTTCCGAGCACCCTTCACATCCTCATCCACCACCACCACCGCCTTCTCCCTCTCCTCCTCCTCCCCCCCCTCCCCCTCCCCCTCCTCCACATCCACATCCATCCCCTCCCCCTCCCCCCTCCTAAACCCAACCCCATTCCTCCTCAACCGCCCCACCACATCATCCCTGCACACCACAACCTCCTGCGTGAAATACCCAATCCGACACGGATTACTCGTCCAGACCGCCTCGCCGCCCGCCGCCGCCCCCTGGAACGCCCGCCGCACCCGCCCCGTAAACATCTCGGGCACCGCCTTGCGCGGCAGCGCCGCCGACGACCCGCCCGAGAACGCGCTCGCCCACGGGTCGTTGTCGCCCGGCACAAACACGAACGTCGACGCCTCCGTCAGCGCGCTAAAGTCCGCCAGCAGCGATGCCAGGCGGTCGAAATACTCTACGCCCCCCCCCAAAGCCCAAGGTGTTAGTCAATGATCGCCGGTACATGTTTTCTTTTTTTTGGGGGGGGGAGGTGGGGGAGAAGGGGGGTGGGGTACCTTTGTATGCGACGCTCCCGCCATTCGTGCCCATCGCAATGCTAGTGAACGAGCCAATGAGCGCAATCACCAGCGGCGGCGATTCCTCCAGGATCTCAAAGACCCTGCGCAGCCCCTCGAGGACGCCCTTTCCGTCCAGCTCCACGGCGCCAAGGAACACCATGCGCACGCCCTCCTCGCTCTCGGCTCTGCGCATGGCGCGGCCCTGCTGGCCACCGCCGCTGCCAAAATTAACGCCCATATCCAGCGTGACGCCGTTTCCCAGGAAGTCGACATGCCCAAGGACCTCCGCGCTGGCATCGCGGCGCTCGGGGAGCGGCTGGCCGACGGTGTAGACCGTGAACTTGCTGTTCTCCTCGAACGCGCCGTCGACGATGCAGAAGCACCCGGGGGCGAACCAGCTGCCGTCCTCGGGGACGGCGACGGCGATGGACAGGTCGAGGACGATCTCGCCGGAGGTGTCGATGAGGGTCAGCACGCCGCTGGGGTTGACGGCGAGCATGCCGAAGAGGAGGAAGCTCTGTCCGGCGCGGCCGAGCAGGTTTGAGATGGGCGTGAGCTTGTGCTGCTTTTGGGTGGCGGCCTTTGTGGACGCGAGGAAGGTGGGGGGGAGGAAGAGCTCTGTGCGGAGGAGGCGCTGGTGCAGGAGGGCGTAGCGGGTGCGGAAGAGGGTTGTTTTTGCGGAGGCGGGGGGGAGGAGGGTTGGTTTTGGTGCTCTGTTTTTGTTGTGTATCGTAGTCAGTGCCAATGTCTAATATCTAACATCTAATTCTTGCATCTCCAATCATTGGCTGTTGTAACCACTCACTTTTCAAACCCGCGCTTCAGCGGATTATACGCCCACTTCGGCATCGCAAACGCATCCACAACCTTCAAAAACCTCTTCCCATCCACAGCCCCGCCCTCCACATCCACCGCCCCGCCGCCGCCGCCGCCCCCCACCGCCTCCGCAACATGCGCCTCCACCTCCGCGCCCCACAACTGACTGCTCTCCACGCCCGCCCCCACCCTCAACAGCTCCCCCGCCCCCGCGCCCGCTCCCCCCGCGCCAGGCACCTCCATGCCCCTAATAACACTCCTCAGCGCCTCCCCCCCATCCACCAGCACCCCCTGCGCGCCCTCATTCCTTCTCCACTGGCGCGCAATCTCGTCGAGCAGGCGCTCCCCCATGCCCGAGTCGCGCCAGTCGGCGCCGCAGCGGCGCCCCACGAACGCGCACAGCAGCGCCAGCGCGTCCGACTTGAGCGTGAGGTTGTGCTTCTTTGTGAAGACGCGGAAGGCCACGGGGCGCAGGATGCTCGGCGGGATCTCGACGGCGAGGATGCGCGGCGTCGGCGCGCGCGAGGAGCTGGGCGGCAGCGGCTCGAAGGGGTCGGAGGTGAAGGTGGAGGTGGAGGTGGAGGTGGAGGAGGGTGGGTGGGCGGCGGGGGGGGGGGGATGCTTGGGGCGGAAGAAGGACTGGATCCTTTTGGCGGGGGGATTCATCGTTATAGTAGTGTGTTTTTTTTTTTTTTTGTGCAATTGGGAGTGGTGGGATTGCACGTTTGGGGGGGTTTTGGGGGGGGGTTTTCGTGGTTTCCGTGGACGCGGGTTTGCGAGGGAGACGCGACGTGGTGACGCCAAGGGATTTATTTGTTCGTTAAATGCAGCTGCAGGGAACGAACGAGCAGATCCTGGCTTCTGGGGTTTGATTGGGAATGGATTACAGACATGGACATTGATACTAATGGAGTTGTTTCGAGGATATCAACTCACTGCAGCAGAATGGGCTTCTACCTTCAATCGAACATCCACCAGCGTCTGTTTGATCAGTACCTCGTATCAGTGACCCCGGATGTGAGTGCTTCCCCCGCTGACTGGTAAACGGACAATTACAAGATCACCGAGTTTGGTATTGATTACCGTTGGTTGTGGATGGGAGGAGGGCCCCTCGATCCCGTCTGTCGCAATCCGGCGGGGGATCCTCACCGAGTGTCGGATCAGCTTCTTCGGTGGTCACTTTAGACAGTCGGTCCTACATAGCAAAAATATGGGAGGAGCGCGGGGGGAGCCGGTCTTTGAGCATGACTTCCCCGCCAGGAACGGATATGATGAAAGAGATCCGAGAAGGGCCCACTGGCGCAGGCAAGGTTTGAGGTGGAGCTGTCTTCTAGACTGATCTGACAGGTACATAGTTTGAGGATGCGGCGCACAACGGGGCTTTACTTGTTTTGTTAAAAGTCCTTCTTTTTTTTTAGTACTAAAAAAATGGTGAAACGGAAATGTAATTGATTATTAATTGATTTACATCCTTATTCGTAATTTGTTTATGAAGAGGGGGGGGGCGTAGCCTAGAGTGAGCGGAGCGAAACGTTCAGCGTAGCCAGCCAGGGGCGAAGCTGAGCCACTCGTTCTCAGCCATTAAAGTCCTTTGCGAAGCAGAGGAGAGCGCTCGCAGCAGATATCACGGCCTTGAACGGGGACAGAGAAGAAGAAGACGGTCAGACACAGCATCTAGTGATTCTTTAATTTCTATACAGCCAGGAAGCACCACAGCAGTAGCCCTCGCCAAAACACAGAAAACATTAAGATCTAGACAGTAAAAGTAAAGTAAACCCCCCATCCATGCATGTATGCCAATGATAGACGCGACGGGAAAAGAAACCCATATTACCTCAAAAACAACCTCCCCAGAGCCCTCCGCCCCAATGAAAAACGCCGATGAAGATAGAGAAAATAGTAGGGGGAAAAAAAAGAAACAAAAAGATACAAAGGATGGAGGAGAAATATAAAAGAAAAGAAAAGATAGAAAGAAATAAGAAGAATGTGTTGAGCGTTTACAGCGTTTATATCGCCGCTATGTAGCACACTGACATGTAGGTACATACAAGTACCCCCCCAACCACACGTACCCTCCCATTTGCTTTCCATGCCCCCATTATGGCGAGCCTTGTAAATCATGACACAGAAATCCCATCCCTTAATCGTACCACACGGCCTCGCTTTCGTCTCCATCCTCTTCTTCATCGAGTTCCTCATTGTTCCACTGGTAATCCCCGCCGACATCCCAGATGGTCCCGAGCCGAGCCCCGACATCGCGAGCCTCCTTGACCAGCTCCCTCTGCTTCTCCGAGACGTTCGCCAGCAGGAGCGCCTCCTTCTCCCCGTCCCGCAGCCTCCAGCCCTTCTGTCTGCGCCCAGGGTGTTCCATTGCCCAGGCCGCAATGCTGATTGGCGTAAATCCTTTGCGATCCGCGCTGAACGGGAGCCTGGACCCCTTGTTCAGCAATTCCCTGTAGAATTCGAGGCCAGGAATACTGGCGGCAAAGTGAAGCAGAGAAGTCCCGTGCTTCTGCATCAAGTAATCCTCCTTCGCCCCCGCCTCAGTGAGTAGCATCGCGGCTTTGGTTTGCTGAAACTTGATGGCCGTGTACAGCGGGCGGTGGCCATGGCCGTCTTCAACTTCAAGGTCTTCCCTGTCCCTGATGCACATTTTCAACATCTCCAGTGCGCCGTGTTGGACAGCGAGGTGAGTGTATGTGCGCTTGCCGGGGGTTAATTTGTGGTCGCTTTGGTACATGATTTCCAGAAGATCAATAACGGCCGGGTTTCCTGATCTCTCCAAGCATGCAAAGACGTTCTTTCCCTGCTCGTTCTCCAAGGTGTAGTCGGCACCAGACCTAAGTAATGCCCTGACAATTTCGGCTCCTCCCTTTCGAAGAGCGGCAAGATGAAGTGGAGTGCTACCCCTTCCCAGGTCCCCTTGCCTTGGATCGGGGTCCACCCCGTGATCGAGAATCATTTGAATCACTGCTGCGTCACGATAAGCGGCAGAAGCATGGAGAGGGGTCCAGAACTTCCCCCTAAGCTCGACTCTGAAGTCCGGAAGCGCGCCTTTCGAGAGTAACTTTGCGACCAACTGGTTAGATATCTCAGGATCATTAAGAGCAAGGATGAGGGCAGATGTCTCATGGCAGTTCGGGTCGGCCCCATATTCCTCCAAGAGACACTCCGCCCATTCCTCGCGGCCTGCTTTGATTGCCATGTGTAGCGGTGTCCGTCCCTCGTGATCTAAATTATCAACACACTCGGGGTTCTTTCTGAACATAAACTTCATAAAACAGACGAGGTGCTTCTCAGCTGCCCACCCGAGCGCGGAGTACCATACGTTTCCTCCTCTACGGTGACGGGAAAGTAACAGTAGCGAAGGCTCCCGAAGCACGTGTGTCAGCTGGTCCTTAGGCGACATTGTTTTGAGCTCCATCCTTGTTGGCCCAGTAGTATCCCCCGCACGCCTGGCGAAATCAATCTCGATATTTCTCATATTGCGCAACAGCTTCAGCGCCAGCACCTGGTCCTTCGCTATGGACGCATAAAAGAGGAGTGACATGGTGTCTTCGAAACTGTATTTGGCCTTGCTGTAGAGGACGCTTGGAGTGGAAAGACGACGGAAGAAACAGCTTGTTTCTCTGAGGTTTATTAATGACCATATTGAGCACTCCTTGACGATTTGGATGAGGATCTCGGTTGGGAGCCTCATCAGAAGGCTGTTCTCCACGAATTCTGGAGGCGTTGGTGACTGAGTGGTAAGGCCAGACATTGCAGGAAAAGATATTGGTGAAGGTAGAGAGGAAGCAAAGCCGATGATATGATGGGCGAAGCGGAAGAAGAATGTGTCCGTATATTCAGGCGATGGGATCATGCCGTGAAAGAGAGGGACGGGGGTTTGAGACGATTTTATTTGGAAGTGTTGGTTGTGGGCGGGTAATTGATGTGAGACCTGTCAAAAGTGAGACTGGTTGAGGGCGATGTCGGGGGTGAGTCTGCGGAAGGGGGGGTTTGGGGGGGGGGGGGGGGGGGCACAACCTTTAGAACAGCAGATTACGTCAAAGATTGCCTGGGATCAATTCGATCGCATGACCCCGTATTTATTCCGTAGCTGTCAATTCAAACTTGTACGTGTGTTGTATGTAAGTTCAGCCTCGCAGAGAAGACAGCTAGAAGTGCAATGTGGTAGCCATTCAACTACACTGTGACACAAGCAGTGCACACAGAAAGCTGCAGCGGACAGTGCAATCGAAGAGAGTGGGTGGCAGCCTGAGACCGGTCTGAAGAGAGATCAAGAGGGGTAGAGAAAGGAGAGAGGCGGACGTGAAAGAGCGGACGAGAATAAGCTTTGTTGAAGACAGGAGGAGTTCCCGGGTACATCCCAGGACGTCAGTCTCTACTAGCGTCCTTTCTCATCATCTTGGCGCATGTTGTCTTCCGTTGGTCACTTGGCCTTCGCAAGCCGAGCTGCTGCGCCCAATCAAACGTAACGCTTTGTGCCTAGCCCAGAGATCCATATCATAATGTCTCTGGCCTGACAATGCCATAGGAGAAGGGCAGACATGATATCCCTACGTGTTTGCGTGGCCGTGGCGATAGACCACGGTTAGCTCTCATCCAAAGAGATCTAGTGCGCACTCTATGAGCTTTTTAGGCCATCCTCACTGGAAAATCAATCCGCCACTTCATACACCCTCATCAAAAAACAGTCTTCCCCAAACGATGATGGATGTCTAACTCCTCATCGTCAGATTAGAATTAGGCGTCGATAATTAGCCCGGTAAGTTCCGCTTTGCGCTAAAAATACCCCTGTTGCGGCTCTGCGGGTGACAAGGAATCTCCATCCATGCTTTTTCGGCCCCCGGCCCCGCCCAAGCTTTTTCCTGGTATGTAAGCTGAAGATAATCTAGGATCGGCACTCAAGCGATACTCATCTGAACGGTTCAACTCAAAGTCCCCCCAAGAAGTACGTACTAGTGCCATCTCTTCGCGAATCGAGATGGGCACAAAGTCGATGGCTGAAGGATTTCGCAGACTGCCACTTCCATACTTACATTGTACGTATCCCCTATCCATGATTGAATCGATTGACATTGAGTGGCTCGGACACCTCAGACGTACTCTAGAGTACTCGTACCCACCCACCCCTCTGATCCGTTCAGCACAAACCGAGCTACGCGCAGGGGCCGAATACGAGTCTATGAGTGCGCAAAACACACGTGTGTTATGCCAACACCCCCAAATCCCGCCAATGGCTACATGTAGTCACATGACCCATAAATTTTCAATGTTGAGATGTAGGTACAGCATAACTCAGTCTACAATGTTGGCGGCCTGAACTATGATCATGACATGTTTGGCTGCCTGATTGTAACCTCAATCTTCCATCGTTGTATTCTTGATACATACATGGCGTACGACAGCTCTCTTTAGTTAATAGGGTGTGAGTGATTGCCTTGAAGGCAAATAATAGAAAGTCCATGATGCGATTTATACATACCGTCGTTGATTGGAGGGAGAGGTGGGAGCTCCTATAAATGTAAGTACTCGATGGTAATACCCCGATCAGTCGGCCTACAGACCATACAATTGTTCAAGATTGCAATGGGAGAGGGCCTGACTTTGGTCCTCCCGTGAACCAATCAAATTCCCCAAAATCGTTTCTGAACGCTAAGGATCACCATTCAATCACTCGGTTTTTTTTAGCAGAACCCATGTGACTGTTGCTTCCCGACTAGCCCAAACCAGACGCGGCTGTTGTTAGGTCGCAACCCCCACCCCACACAAACTCGCTACGCAAACCACCCTTACGAAATTTCCGCCCTTAGCACCCTCCTTGCAACAATCAACAACCACCACAGCCACCCTCAACAGTCGAGATTACCCATTAATCTTTTCGTCCAAAATGTCTTACAACAAGCCAGAGAAGGGCGAGTTCGGGGAAGGTCCCAAGATCCACCGCATCCGCATCACCCTCACCTCCCGCAAGGTCCAGGCTCTCGAGAAGGGTGCGTTTTTTCCATGTCCCCCACCCCCAGAAAATTAAGGGAACAGGAAATTGACGATCAAATGGGAATATAGTCACCTCCGACCTCATCGAGCGCGCCAAGTCCAAGCAGCTCCGCGTCAAGGGCCCCGTCCGTCTCCCTACCCGCGTCCTCAAGGTCACCACCCGTAAGACCCCCTGTGGTGAGGGTTCCAAGACCTGGGATTGCTTCGAGATGAGAATCCACAAGCGTTTGATCGAGTATGTCACCTCCCCGCAAGCTTCGTTGAGACATATGCGCAGGATTGCTAACTAGGTTGTAGTCTTAACGCCCCTACCGAGGTTGTCAAGCAGATCATCATCAACATCGAGGCCGGTGTCGAGGTTGAGGTCACTATCGCTGCCTAAGCGATAGTGGGAGGGTGAAAAGGGATATCCCCAATGGTGGGGGGGTATCAAAACATAAAAAAAATATAAAAAATTAAAAAGCTTCTCGGGTTCTCATTTTTCTTGATGTGAGCATTGCATGGTGAAAAATACGGCTTGGCCGTTGTTTACGGTCATTTGGGAATAGATTATATTAGGACTGGTAACGCGCGTTATTTGAAGTTCTCTTTTTAAAACACCAATGCCCGCGCTTGGATTAGCAGAACCTCAAACTAATAACTAGAAAGCTCGATCCTAAGGAGTAGTTACTGGGTCACAGATTATCACTCGACGTTTGTCAGCCAAGGTCCCCCAACCCAGGCGATCAAGTCTCAATGGTCGTTTAAAAGAATTATGCCTCCGTTTCCTGTTTGAATCAATGCATAGTTCTAGATACATATAGGTATTCATGTGTGCGCAATTCATGGCCTATCTGGATCCGGGTATCATGAAATATCACTCATCGAAGAAATTCAACAACATTCACTTGTTGCTTGTAGATTTTGACCCGCATATTGTCTCGAAGTTGATTTCCCTCCTTTCATACCAAAAATTCGAAGGTCCTCGATGTAGTAAATAGGAATACGGAGTGGCATAAAATACACAAGCATGAAAGACAGGACTAGGAAAAACAAATATCAATCCACCGCACTGAGCCGGAACAGACAGCATCCTCGCAGGCATTGCGCCATAGAAGCTTCCCTTCGCGGTTTGCCTTATACCCCGAAATTCTTCACATAAAACGCAAAATGCAACTTGATTGGATAAGAGAGCCAAAATAAAATGTTGGGGGGTGGGGGGGGGAGGGAAGGAATATTTAATCGAACTGAAATAATGACTATAGCTTTTTCTCTTCTTCCGTATGCTTTGGGCTGGCCGGGCCCTTATCTCTCTCCGCGCTTGTTTCCTCAGCCGCTTTTGCAGCCAGTGCGTCCTCTGCTGCTTGTGCTAATGTCAGTCCGGGAATTGCATTGGCACCACTCAAGGCTTCAATTGGCTTTGGTGCTGCCGATGCTGGAGTTGGTGCTGGCGAAGGTTCAGGCTTCTCAGCAGGCTTCTCAACCGGCGGTGATGTTGGAACAATGTGTGGGGCAGGTGTGGGTGATTTTGCCTTGACAAGTTCAGGATTTTCTGCTGCTGGAGCCACGGAAGATTGTTTAGGTGAAAGTACAGGGTCGGTTGTAGTAGGTGGGGGCACAACAGCGGCATCAGTCATTTCCTCATCGTCCTTTACCCCGTCCATGCCTAGACCCGATGTTTTCGCTGCAGAGGTATCATCGCCCATTTCCACATCGCCGTCATCATCCGCACCTGCCGCCTCCTCTTCCTCAGCTTCCTTCCTGACAGCTTCTAGTTCATCATCATATTCGGCTAGGTTTTGATCATCCTCGCTATCTTTGGCGGCATCCTCTTTCTGAAGGGCTGCGAGGTTCTTCTGCGCACCTGAGCCACTGCTGGAACCAGTTTTACTACCGCCGGCTTCACTGGGTGCTGCGCTGTCGCCGCCACCCAGAGGTGATTGCACGCCAGAACCTGCATTGGAGCCAGTTTCTTTGTAATTGCTCTCGTTCCGACGGCGTGTTCTTCCCTGGCGACGGATACCAAGAGAATTGTCCATATCCTCGTCCTCAGATTCCGACATAAGTTCTCCTTCCTTTTCAATGTTACGATCCCACCTGCGCTGAGTGTGGCGTCGGTCCATGCCGATCGTATCATCTTCCTCATCATCAAGTATTGCGTCATTTTCCTCTTCCTGTTCCGTGAGGCCCCTGCCGACATCAGTCATTTGTACGCTGGGTGCGTGACGGGTGCGTTCGAGGTTTTGTAGGACAGCGGTTTTGATTTTTTCGAGGTACTCCCGGGAGTTAAGATTCTCCATGTTGGAGGGGCGGACGTCAAGTTCGTAATCGGGGCCGAAGTACTAGTATTGTTAGTATTATAAGGTTTAAAATAGTAGGGTTATAGTTCACCTCATAGAAATCACTGAATGGTAGATCTGGGCCGACTTTCTGATTTACCAAAATACCGGTTTCGTAAGTCCAGGCTCTACTGACATTTCTCATGGTATAGCCTCCGCCACCCACAACTAGAGTGGGTAGATTGAATTTTTTGACAAACTCCACACAATTCGCGTGCCCGGCCATACTTAAGTTAAAACATCCGAGTCTATCACCCGATAGACTGTCGGCACCGCACTGTAATACAACAGCGTCTGGTCTGTAGTATTCCATAACATGTCCAATTACCGGCTCAAAGACCTCCTTATAAGTGACATCGGTAATACCATCACGAAGGGGGAAATTGACAGCGTAGTGTTTTCCCTGTCCCACACCAATATCACGGAGTTCACCAGTACCTGGGAAGTATTCTCCGTATTTGTGGAAGGAGACAGTCATAACGCGATCTGTCGTATAGAAAGCTTCCTCGACTCCGTCGCCATGATGCACATCGATATCAATGTACAGAACACGCTGCTTGTAACGCAGAAGTTCAATAATACCAAGGACAATGTCTGCGCAGTAAAGTTAGTATCGATGTCTCAGGTGCGTGAAAATGCAATGAAACTGACCGTTAATATAGCAAAACCCAGATGCCTCGCTTTTCTTTGCGTGATGCAAACCCCCAGCCCAATTTATCGCGATATCACATTTTCCGCGGTTGAGCCTAGCGGCCCCTTCCATACTGCCGCCACCAGAAATTCCACAGAACTCGAACAACCCGTCAAATACTGGACAATCATCGCCGACATTGTATTTTCCTTGCTCTTTTGCATATTGTTCCATGTTATCTGGGGTGACTTTCGAGAGGAAATCCACATATTCATCGGTGTGAAATTGGCACATTTCCTGTTTTGTTGCAGGTTTCGCTCGCTGATAGTGGAAGTGAGCGATAGTTATGGATAAGGCCGAGTTGTTAGGGTGATCCTTACATATATTTCCATCTTCTTGTATAGGCCGTAATTCATGATCAGACTGTGGGTCATTCTTATCCTATGAGGCTTCATTGGATGCCCAGCGACATAAGCATAGTTTCTGGGAAAGACGTTAGCAACAGGAAATGTTAATAAGTGGGACTGAAACATACCCTACATCAGCTGTTGGTAACGAAGGATTAAGTTAGTAAAATTGCAATGTTTGCGTTTGCAGTAACACTGCTTGTTCGGCATGGATAGGTTCGTGTTCTTGCATCTTGTAGTGACGCGATTCATACTGGGGCCTCGACTTGAACTTACAATCGTAGAACTGCACAAGCACACGAAAAAAATCAGTATCAAATTCACATTAAACTATGGAACTACTTTCATATAGTTTTAATAAGAGAAATACTAACATAGGCCACACGTTTCGCATTAGATGACCCGTTTGTTGACGGAGGGTCGATGGGAGCGCCATACTGGGTCATGTCGCTGGCCGTAGAACCTAAAGCGTTCTGTAGCTATCGGAATTATTTAGAAAGAGTTGTATTCGTAGGCGGGGTGGCTAATAGTGGGGGTTGGTATGGAAGGGCGCAATTTCCAAGTGATGAAGAGTGACGAGCGAGACAGCAGTTGGTGCAGTAGAGGAAAGGGTGGAGGAAGGGGAAAGCTCAAGAAGAGGCTGAGACGGCTTCCTCCTACATTTAACTGTGGCGCACTGCTTAATTCCCCTCCGGGTAATCTGTGGCTTGTAATTATAGACCCTCGAGAACAGTTGTCACGTGGAATAATTGCGGGCAAGGTGGCTTTTATGAAAACGTCCAGTCAAGTCTTACCTCGATTGTCCAATTTGTCGCCTGCAACCCACTCTGCAAGTCTCACATAATCCATCTTCTAAGATAATCTTCCCCAAAAACAATATTTCACCTGCTTTATTCCACTGGATCTGGCAGCAGTGAAGAAATCAAAGCTCAGCAGTCTGTCTTCTTTTGTTTCGTCTTTGTGACCCTCGCAAAGCTATATACCTACCTTTACTTACTCCGAAGCTCCCAAATCAGATCACGCCCGGACTCCTTCAATAATGGCAGAAATGGCCATGTATTACGCCCTTGGGGCTGATGAGCCGGATGCGAACGACCCAAACCCTCCTGTATCTCAGCAGCAGCAGCAGCAGCAGCAATTCCGGCCTGCTGTAGCTCCCCCTCCAACTGGCTACCAGCAAACCGGCGGCTCTCCATATCAGCAGCCATCTTATGGCCAAGCTCCTGGACAGGTAGCGTCTCCCTACCAACCACAAGGACCATATGGTCAGGCGCCTTACGGTCAAGCTCCACCTACATCTGCCTCCCCATATCAACCACAAACTGGATATGGACCTCCCCCGCAACAATCCAGCTTCTATGGGGCCTCTGGAGGGGATATTGGTGGCTTGACGGGATCAATGTCTGGTATGGATCTTGCCGGGGGTGTCGGAGCTACTCCGGGGACCATCTCTAAAGCTTCTCGGAAGAAGGCAAGAGCATACCACGATCTTGGGCAGGCCTCAGAATCAGTACCTGGCGGCACTCTACCCCCATATTCGCCGGGGGTTACATCCCATGTCCCTTCCCAATTTCTTGGCCAGCAACCAATGCAATCTCCAGGCTTCGGGGGCAATTCGCAATTCCCAGTTCCCGCGAATCAGCCATATTCTCCAGCTACAGGAACTAATCCCGCAGCATTCGCCGCCCGTCCAGCTCAAGCGGCTTCTGTCAATCAGCAAGGTGGTAAAATCGATCCAAACTCGATTCCATCAGTTCCACTCTCACGTGACTTTGCTACGACACATTATAAGACAGCAGTCTACTCGACACTTGATAAACAGGCACCACCAAATGCCAATTCCGATTTCATTGTCCATGACCAGGGCAATGCATCTCCTAAATTCTGCAGGTTGACTTTAAACTCAATCCCTGCAACTACAGAACTTTTGGGATCGACGTCCTTGCCATTGGCACTTTTAATACAGCCGCTAGCGAAACAGAAGGAGGAAGAGAGCCCAATACCCGTTCTAGATTTTGGGGAGATGGGACCTCCACGGTGCAGACGTTGTAGGACTTATATCAACCCTTTCATGATATTTTTGCAGGGTGGAGCAAAGTTCCAGTGCAACATGTGTCTTTTCCCCAACAACGAGGTGCCTAACGAATACTACTCTCCTGTAGATATGACTGGTACTAGGATTGATCGTATGCAAAGACCAGAATTGATTAATGGGACAGTGGAATTCGTAGTTCCGAAAGAGTACTGGGCGAAGAAAGAGGGCGAGGGAGCAGGTGGCGAAGAAGGAAAAGGTGGATCACCAATGAGATATCTATTTTTAGTGGATGTGGGTGAAAATGCAGTGAATAAGGGTGTCTTGGAGAGCGTCGTTGGTGGCATTAGAGAAACTCTCTATGGGGAAAGTGCCTATGTGTCATGTCTAGAAGGGCAAGAATCAGAAGATGAAAAGGAAGGAAAGAGAAGGAGATTACCTAAAGGGTGTAAGATCGGGATTTGTACGTTTGACAAGGATGTGCAATTCTACAACTTGAACGTGAGTTGCATTTCATGGTGAAACCCACTTATGACGAGTGCTGATTGGTGGATTATAGTCGAATTTGGACCAAGCCCAAATGTTAGTTATGACTGACATTGAGGATCCTTTTGTTCCTTTGAGTGAGGGGTTATTCGTTGATCCTTACGAATCGAGGTATGTGCATGGTTATAAAGGCTTATCAAAGGTGGAGAACTAATGGGTGCACCCGAAGAACTGCCATTGAATCACTCCTAACAGCCCTCCCGGAACTCTTCCTGAATATCAAGAACCCCGAACCAGCTCTTCTGCCTGCCTTGACTGCTGCCCTTTCAGCCCTTGAGAAGACTGGCGGAAAGATCATCTGCTCTCTCGCTACGTTGCCGACATGGGGTCCTAATCGTCTCCACCTCCGCGAGGACTCGAAGCTCTACAACACGGATAAGGAAAAAGCACTGTTTCAAACGGAACATCCTGCATGGCGCAAGATAGCCGGGAAAATGGTCGAAGCTGGGGTAGGCGTAGATTTCTTCCTGACGCCAAGTGCCTATATCGATGTTGCAACAGTCGGTCATATTTCAGCTACTACTGGTGGAGAAACGTTCTTCTATCCAAATTTTGTTGCGACTCGTGATGCTTTCAAGCTCCGTTCCGAGATTTCTCATAGTTTCCATAGGGAGACTGGGTACCAAGCCCTGATGAAAGTACGTTGCTCCAACGGTCTTCAAGTCTCGAGCTATCATGGAAACTTCCTACAGCACAGTCACGCCGGTGATGTTGAGTTTGGAACTATCGACGCAGATAAATGTATCTCGGTCATGTTTAGCTATGACGGGAAATTGGATTCTAAGGTTGATGCACATTTCCAAAGCGCCTTGCTATACACAACCAAGGAGGGCGAGAGGAGGGTTAGATGCAGTAATGTGGTAGCTGCTGTTACCGAGCAGGGCCGAGATGCTGTAAGGTGGGCGGATCAGGATGCGGTATTGGGAGTGCTCGCCCGAGAAGCTGCTAGCAGGATGACTGAGAAGCCATTGAAGGAGATTAGAGGTGCACTTACGGAAAAGTGCGTAGAAATCTTGGCAGCCTATAGGAAGAATTTCAGCGCGAGTGGTAATCCCCCAGGCCAGTTGGTATTACCAGAAGGTCTGAAAGAGTTCGGGATGTATGTATTAGCTTTGCTCAAGTGCAGGGCCTTCAGGGGAGGGAATGTGGCGAGTGACATGAGAGTTCACTCAATGAGGCTTTTGAAGAGCATGGGCCCTAGCGAGTTACAGCTATATCTATATCCTAGGATTCTTCCAGTTCATAGCATGGCTGAAGAGGTCGGTTTCATAAACTCCAGCCTAAAACTTACTAAACTAATATAATTCTTGGTATATAGGATGGCTTTCCCGATGAGACCGGTCACCTCAAAATCCCAGCCGCAGTTCGTGCTTCTTATGGCTTCATCGAAGAAGGTGGCTGTTATATTGTTGACAATGGTCAATTACTTCTTCTTTGGATCCACGGTCAGGTCTCACCAAACCTCTTGCAAGACCTCTTCGGGCCTGATATCACCTCTCTCTCTGCTCTTGATCCGAACCTTTATGAGCTACCCACCCTAGAATCACACCTCAACGCACAAGTCCGCAATATTCTACAATACCTCAAATCGCAACGCGGAAGCAAGGCAATATCTGTCCAGCTCGCTAGACAAGGATTAGACGGCGCTGAGTATGAATTTGCTGGGAACTTAGTTGAGGACAGAAACAACGAGGAGAGGAGCTATGTGGATTGGCTGGTACATATTCATAAGTTTATTCAACTAGAGGTAAGTGGTAGATCTATGAAGAAGATGTGAGCCCGGTCCGGGGCTGATTCATATCGGTTGGATCAGGTTACTGGACAGAGGAGGAAGGAACAAGGGGATGTTGCATCTGGAGGCGGAATCGCGGGACTAAGGCCTCCTTATTGGTAAATGTTTGGTGATGTGAAGCAATAATGCTGAATATGGTGTGGAGGTTTGTTTGTAAGCATTTATCTTTTGGGCGCGTTTGATTTTTAAATTCGTTGCGATTAAATATTAGTATATCTGCCTGGTAGCTGAAAATAAAGCGGTGGGTTTGTTTGGGTGGGAAAATAGTCAATTGATCAACGGTGGGTGTATATACCAAACTGAAGTCTGTACCTGCTTTGCGTTTACTTTACTTTTGTCCAAAAGAAAAAGCATGTACTTGAGCTCAAACAGAGAAAATCAGTGCAATTTTGCAGTAGAGTCTGCATCTACTTAGAATAGAGTGTTGGCCATAGATATGATAGAGTCCAGATTCTGTGTCATTCTTGCTCTGTCAATCGTAGAGCTTACAGTGTGTGGTGCAGATCTCAAAACCTAATACAGTATCAAGATTCAAGATATGTCCCAGGCCAGCTCAGATGAGATGCGGAATTCACGTGTGGGGTGGGATCTAGGAGAAGTTATTTCGCGCTAAGTACCACACATCATGCCGCACTAAATACCCACAAAACATCCTGGTGCCCCACCAAGCTTTGCAAGCCTTGCGGGGAATTTGCATGCAACGCGGCTGTTGTTGTTTACCCTCTACTGCAGGTTCGTGTTTTTTCTAACGACCCCAGCTTTCAATCCCGGTCCCTTCTTCCCCTTCTTCCCCTTCGTTCCTCACTTCTCAACCAACGACCAACACTCACGACAGCCAACACCAACAACCATCAACCAACAGCGACAACAGATAGATATCTTCTTGTTAAAAGATAGAAGAATCTATCCATTCCTTCACTACAGAAATCCGAGAAGTGTCAGTTCGCTGCCACCTGAAATCAGGAATTACGGAGACTGCCACCTTTGGACGGACCGGTCAAGGAGCTAGCATGGAAAACTACCAGAAGATTGAGAAGATTGGTGAAGGTTTGTCACATTGCCTTTTGATGTTTGCTGCTTTTCTTGGCCCAATTCGTCCCATACCAAACCCTTTGTGTTGTTGTTTGTTTACATGCCACTTCACTTCCGCTGTTTGTTTCGACCATTAACTTAATTGTTTCAAATCCTCTTGATGTTCCTTGGGATAAATGTTCCCATCTCATGCATCACTCATTACTCCCTCTCGCTTTGACCTTTTATGCAATTTGATATGTCCGAATTTGAGCTCATAATCTCAAAACAGGTACCTACGGAGTCGTCTACAAAGCCAAAGATCTCAAAAATGGCAACCGTATCGTCGCTATGAAGAAAATCCGTCTCGAGGCCGAGGATGAGGGTGTCCCCTCTACCGCTATTCGTGAGATCTCTCTTCTCAAGGAGATGTCAGATCCCAACATCGTTCGTCTCCTCAACATCATCCATGCAGATGGTCATAAGTTGTACCTGGTTTTTGAATTTTTGGATTTGGATTTGAAAAAGTACATGGAGGCTATCCCACAGAATATGGGGCTGGGTAGAGATATGATTAAGCGATTTATGAGCCAGCTGGTCGAGGGAGTTCGGTATTGCCATGCTCACAGGATTCTTCACAGAGATTTGAAGCCGCAGAATCTCTTGATCGACAAGGAAGGGAATCTGAAGTTGGCAGATTTTGGATTGGCGAGAGCATTTGGTGTTCCTTTGAGGACCTATACCCATGAGGTTCGCTTTTCCCCCTTCTTTTCTTCTTTTTGTGTTACTAGTAGATCGAGCTAACCTTATGTCTAATGCTAGGTTGTTACTCTCTGGTATCGCGCCCCCGAGATCCTTCTTGGAGGCAAGCAGTACTCCACCGGCGTCGACATGTGGAGCGTTGGTTGCATCTTTGCCGAGATGCAAACTCGCAAAGCTCTTTTCCCAGGTGACTCTGAAATCGACGAAATCTTTAAAATCTTTAGGTTTGTGCTAATACATATCCTGCCTTTACCTACTATATATCGCAATCCTAACCATGCGCCCTGTACACTTAGGTTACTCGGAACCCCCGACGAAGACACCTGGCCTGGTGTAACTTCTTTCCCAGACTTCAAGTCCTCTTTCCCGCAGTGGGCCAAGGTCGACGTCGACAGAATGGTCCCCGGACTCGACCCCGCGGGTTATGACCTTTTGGAGGCATGTCATGTTGCCTCTTTCTCTATTTCCCCTAAACTAACTTTTCTTTCAGGCCATGCTCGTTTTCGACCCAGCTGGTCGTATTTCCGCCAAACAAGCCTGTCACCACGACTACTTCATGGAGGATGGGCAGAATAACGGGAAGCCGGCGAGCAGGTACGCACGCTAAATAACGAATAAGTTTAACGCAATGGCACATGATACGATTGGATGAGAATAACGAACTAAAAAGCCAATTGGAGAGATGAATAAAACAAATCTCTTTTTACGTTTTGTTTATCGCCTACTCTTTTTTTTTTTAAGTTTCCAAGTTTAGTTTTTTTTTTTTCTTTTTTCCCAATTCCTTTTGGTTGGCTTCTACAGGAAATTAGTATGGCGAAAATAAAACCAGTAATCAGGCGGGTACTTTCGGTACGAACTGTGCCATAATGAAAGGTTCTGTTACTATTATTGTGGCCGATTTTTCAAGGCTCGGTCAAAGTAAAATGAGGGCTGTTTGGTTATGCGTCCTAATACCACTTTTTCTCTGGTCACTAGCTTATCATATTGAGCGACACTGTCTTTTGAGTACACACCTTGAAAAGCTTGCTGCACTTATATATTGTTGTATACTACAAGTACCTCGTTGTCCATGTACTCTCGGACCATGAGTACATACATGTTAATATTCAATCGAGTGATAAGATATGAGTTTTCTCAACAGGTTACTATACTATGACTAAGCGACCCACCAAAATATATTGGTCTTTAGAATCAAACAGCCAGGCAGGTCAACTCAACAAACATCATGTTTCGGTGTAATCTGGATTAAAATTTCAGCATAAAAAAAGATCGTTAATAGATTTGTGGTTGGCGATACCTCAAGTAAGTCCGGCTTCAGACTCTAGAAGCCCTAGATCTCTCCACTAAACTAAATAAGTTGGTTATATTATATTCTCTAAAGTAGATTCTGACCTTAGTAAAGGGGGTTTGTATTAGCCTTCTGAGTGCATGTAGGCATGCATCTTCAGTGGTGAGGATTGGAAACTGGGGTGAGGCTTTACGGTGTTACCCTGCCTTAGCATTGCAGATTTAACATCTAATCTGATGTTACGCTACCTTAATGATTAGATTAGGGCAGTAGACCTGGTCCCCACACACGCACACACAGTCCCAAGCTGTCAGCCAGCCCACGCCCCAATCTCTAGACTGTATTGTGAATTTGGGAGAAATCTACACAACCACCACGACCGACAACTCCGCGACCGACCGATCCGACAACTAATCCCGTCAACCCAGTCGACGTAGTCACAATAAAGCGCAATTATGTATGTTTTTACCTCTTGCCAAAAAATTCAGACACTACGGTTTTTAGGGTGGTTTGGTTGGAAGGAGCGATTGATAGTGTTGAACGAGTGAGAGAAAGTGAGAACGAACTTGCTAATGATGGTACCGCGTTGGTAGGCTTATCCCTAAAGCCGATCGCAAGAAGATCCACGAGTACCTCTTCCGCGGTAAGCTTATTTTCTTGCCCTCTTGATTCGTGAGGATTGTTGGATATTGGAGTTGGGGACATTGGGTCGGAGGTGGATGATAGAATGGCTGGATGAGGGAATGAGGGATTGGCATACGAGCGGATTCAAGGCCAAAAAGCTAATGTTTGTACAGAGGGAGTTCTCGTCGCCAAGAAGGACTTCAACCTCCCCAAGCACCAGGACATTGACACAAAGAACCTCTTTGTACGGCTTCCTCTCAAGCTCCATCAGCTATCAAAGTCACAAACTAACCGCCTATGGATGCGTACAAATAGGTCATCAAGGCCTGCCAGTCCTTGACCTCCCGCGGCTACCTCAAGACCCAGTTCTCGTGGCAGTACTACTACTACACCTTGACCGTCGAGGGTCTCGATTACCTTCGCGAATGGCTCCATCTCCCCGCTGAGATCGTGCCTGCCACCCACGTCAAGCAGGCCCGCAGCCACGCTCCCCCCCGCGGAATGCTCTCTGGAGATGGTGGTGAGAGGAGGCAAGGTGGCCGTGGTGGTCCCCCCGGCGAGAGGGGTGACAGGGAGGGTGGATACAGGAGGAGGTTCGACAACAAGGAGGGCGCTCCTTCAGGGGGCTTCAACCCTGAGTTGTATGTTTATCCTCTTCTACGGTTTTTGGGAGATAGGGAATGGATTGCTGACGTTCGTTTGTTATAGCCGCGGTGGTTTCGGTCGTGGTCGTGGTGCTCCTCCTGCTGCGGAATAGAGGAGCATTCCGTAATTCTCCCTGTACCCTCCAAAACCTTCTTCCTCTTCCTACCTTGGCTCCGTTTTTTTGTATCTTTCTCGGTTGAGAAATACATACTTTTTTTCACTACTACTTTTTTTCTCTTCTTTTCATATCGGAAAAAAAAGAGCGGTCTTGGGTTTGGCTTGGGGGAAAATGGAATGAAAAAATTAACAAAGTTGTCATGAAAAAAACTAGATAAAAAAACTTACTTTTTCTTGGTGCAGTGTTTTAAACAGCTTCTGTAGTATCTCGCGCGACTTTCCGGGGCGTTTAGGGAATGTACTAAGTCTAGTAATACCTCACATGGTGCGTTGCACGAGGAAAAGTGCTGTTTTGAAGTTTCACGACCTATGACGTTTCGGTGCTATCCTAACTTACTGCAACCTCCCCTCGATATTGAGTGCTCCGCAATTTGTAACAAATTAGATAATGATAAGAGTATTAAAGCTCCAATGAAATGCTCAAATAATTCTTATGTTCACAAAACAACTACCAGTTGTAGCAATTGCTCAAGTCGTTAACTAGAGATCACAGCGATAAATAGTTAGTCTAAGCAAAAAACGAAGAGCTATGTATAAATGTCTTTCAACCGATTCTTTTGCTCAAGTTATTGTGAGCTTGTAGAAATTGGAACTTGGTTCATACTTGCATTTTTGGACCTACGACTAAAAAAGACAGGATATTTACAGGAAGGCCGTGGTTTGGCAAAATGCCAAACTAAGCCAAAGGTGAAGGAAATGACTGTGAGGAAAGCATGGAAAGACCCTAAAGATAAGAATCGAAGAGAAGAAAAACAGCACCTACTTTCGGAAGAAAAGGAAGGGATTGTCAATGATTGATATAAGCTTCGATAGGGATCTGCCCATCATGAGACAAATCCCCAAGCTTCCTCCTTTCAATAGCATTCGGGCTTCCTCCTGTTTCGTTCATTTCCGTCCAATCCTGAATCCCATGTTGCAGAACTCCGCCTGCCCAGTACTCCCTATCGAACCAGCGAGAAAAGGAAAGAAAGAAAAAGACGAAAGATAAAGAGAGAAGGGGAAAAAAGGGAAAAGTTAATTTAAAGGTTTCCACCCATTCCTTCGCCTTTCTCAATATTAATTGGATGGAATGGGTACAGCATTTGTTTCAGTCGAGCTTCCCTCTGGTGCTGTCTGCTCCGCAGCTGCTTTACCCTCCTCTTCTGCGCTGTTTGCGCTGCTGAGCTCCTCGCCTTCGATCGGCTGCTGGGAGCCCATGGGGGACTTCGCGTGAAGAAGGCTACTCTCCTTAACCGGCGAGCTTGAGCTACCGCTACCAGTCGGAGTACCAGGACTGGTGACCTGGTGGTGGGGGATGTTTTCGGGGAGGGGGTGCTGAGAGCCGATGTTGGTTACGCCGACATCGGAGGCCTTCCCGGCTTTGGAGAGAGCATAATCGCCCGAATCGAAGTATTTGCGTTCCTAAATCATCAAAAGGGAAGGTAAATTTCCCAAAGGTTAGCTTGATCTGATGGTTGAAATTTTGACGATTCCCTGTCTTCTGATTCGCTGATAGAGAGGGGTAGGATAGGCATTGAGAGCAGGGGGTGATGGCGGTGATGGTGGGGATGATGATGATGGGGGTTGTTACTTTCAGCTTGTTCTTCAAGATATCTTTCTTTGAAGGCAATTTTCCATAAAGACGGAACAATCTTTGTTCTTCCTCTGTGAGAGACTATATTGACTCGACACAATCTCATCCTCGAGATTTGGTCCTTATCGTCAGCTCAAGTTCCGGTGGCCCATTCATTGTTCTCGAAGCGGGGGAAGAAGGTCAATGCGCAATGGAGTGGGGTAATGAAGAGCACTCACGCTGATGTCAACTTTGTTCTTCTGTGCGGGAAGCATATTTGGATTGTTATTTCTCCCTTCTGATGGAGGTATTTGTTGATGGGGGGCGGAAAACCGAAATTTCTTTTGGTCTCGTGTGGAAAGGTTGAAGCTGTAGTAGGATGTCGCAGAAGAGAGGTAGGTGTGGGATGACGATGTATGGTTGTACGCAGGAGATAGTAGTCTGAAAGGGACAATGGAAACAGAACGGGATGGGCAACTCGAGTTATGTATTCACTAGATATGGAAGCAGAAGCCAACAAGACGTCTGGAGAGAATGAATCCTGAGAACCTGTTTGGGGTTGGGGTAGGTAGAATGGTTGGGTTTCCTTATTTATTTTCCCTGCAATCTGCTGTACTACAAGAAAAGTGGGTACTTTGTAGAGTAGATATTATTTATGCAGAGGGGTCAGTCAATCGAGGCACTCGTTCTATCCGTCGTGGTCATCATTTGGGATTCAACTAGAGCGGGCTTATTCGAAGCAACCTCTCCGCGGTATCTGATCCGCATCGCCTGCAGCGGAAGAGTGGCAGAGCATTCCTAAGAAAGTTTATCTACACCTGTAAGCTTTTGTCCTTTGCAATTCTTTATGGCTACTCTGTCCAGAAGTGCTCTAATCTGCAAGTGGTTTTCTACCAACTCCCATGAAATGATTATGGTTCTGAAGGGATCATTCACTCCCACGGGGTAACCGGTGCTCATACCTGACCGCGTGTAAACTAGCACTCCAGTGATCAGGTAGGTCTTCTACCTACTCTACCAGGTACATTACTCCACTATATCCCACACACGATCAGTGGTACCAGGCCAAAGCCTGTTCACCTCACGGAAGGGAAGCTGCACCCGTAGATCCCATACACAGAGCACACGCCGTAACTCGACAGTAGTGATGTGGAGAGCCGCATTCGAGCTCTTTCGCTCTCTTGGTCACCTGTTTGCGATGATATGATGCGGGATCGACAAAAATAACAGGCCTATCTCACCCAGGGAACGGGAAACAACCAAAAGGCGGGGTTGATAGGCCGTTATCACACGCAGATAAGTAAACGCCCATTGCGGTCATACAAAGCTGATCCAATTATCGTCTCGATGGATCACACTGGAAAACAAAGGAAGGAAGCATTCCTTACGATCATAGGGTAACCCTACGGGAAGCGCCTGTAGAGTAGAAGTAGAAATACTGTACCTGCTTTCAAAACAAAGTATCCGCCGTGCCGGACAAAAGTTCGTCATCTCAATGTGTCAGTTAGCCAATATGAGCTCCCGAAGTTACATGGTGGTTGGTCCCATGATGTGATGTGATGGCCATATATGGGTTATGATTGGACAGCACTTGAGTTATTTGATGAGAAAAATCCTCGAGGACAACAGCAGAACTTTCAAGGCCCTAACCAATACATATTCTGGTGCTGAAGGATGTTGCACTTATCCTAGCTATGACACACGTAGCTGTATCAAAATGGGCCGCATCGGCTTCTCAGAAACCTTGCCAAGATCTCGGCCACAAAAACGATGCTAAACGTGCCAAGATCCTGGAGTCCAGTATGGAATCCCCCGAGTGATTCCGATTGTAATACATACACGGAGTTCTCGAATACCAGCTGTCCAAATAACGGGTTTCCGGCAACACGGTACGGTAAACTGATTACTCTGTTTCTTATCATCTTAATGCAAGATTTGGAAGCTAAGCGAGCGAGTGAGACAGATCTCCTCATTCGACGATATTCATCATTCATGCAAGATCTCTTTCAGATACTCACCGAACAAGCACACCGGGGTGGGGAGTATTCTAGATGCTACTATCCTGCGGTGCTGCGTGAATCGAAGCTTCCTGTAAGGTACAGGTAGTAAATAGCCTCCAATCACTCTCACCCAACCTGCGTTACGTGCGATTTAGAGTCGTGCCCTGTGGATATATGTCCTGACTGTTCATGTAAGAACGTCATGATGTGTGACAAGCTATACACATATGCTATAAACATATCTCACATGGCGGATCTTGGACAGCTAGGCTCTGTTTCAACAATGATTAGAAAATCCTCGGTGTATCTATATAGTCCAAACGATGTTGGAACGGTGGGGATGCTTTCTTCAAACAGACAAACTCCATTTAGTTCTCTGTATTTCGCTGTTATATTAGTGCACGGTAGTAATGTATATTTAAACCCAACTAAATAATATTACTTACATGTGTCTATGTGATTTTAGGGCATGAGCCAGGAGATGATTTCCCTCGAGTGATCTACTGTGATCCAAATTCGACGCGACCCCAGTTCCAGAGAGACTTGGGTAGATTTATCGGTAACAAGTGTTAAAAAAGTTTATCACCTAAATGCTGGGAGAACAATTTTTTTTGAAGGTGTGTGAAACTTTAAGACTTTGATCAATAACCTCATGGCTAAAGTACATAAGTCATGTACTTGCACCAAAATCGAAACAAATCCGTACGCAGTACACATGTATGTAAATACACCTGGAGCCCTTCCTACTGACTCTATAAAATCTTTCCTATTAAGAAGTAAACACTGTTATATTTCTTTGATATTTAAATCTAGATCTTGAGTTATTGAGATATTTGAAAAACTTCGATTTCGATGTACGTCTCGGTCTGGTTACATGTGGTTTCTGGTTAGAAACCACTTTCCAGAGCAAGTCATCAGCAAAAGGTTCCGAAAGAGCTATTGAAGCCGCCTGGAGAAAGAAATCTCATTAAACCAACTATCACTTTATAAAGTCCACCGATTCAAATTATTACGTTTTACCAATTAAGGGTTAGGGTTTCCAATTCAAGATCCAAGTCCCACTCACCATCACTCCACCTTCCCCCATCTCATCTGACCACAACTGCTACCATAACTTCGGCCATAACCACAACCTCAGTATGAAATCCACAAATATCGCCCGCGTGTCATTCACCAAATCCGCATTATCTCGCTTCACCACTCTCCTGAACACACCCTTAGCTGGCTCCGCCGCAGAATCGGGAAAATTCCTCTCACTAATCAAGGAATCGTTCCGGTCTTCCCTTGAGGCCTCTACACCGCCGGTCGCACCAACTGACAGTCATTTGAGCCGTATTCTCTCTACAGAACCCTTTCTCTCATCCGGCCTTACCGGAACTTCCCCTGCCGCCGCCTCCGCCGCCTCTAAAGCAAACATCAAGAAGTTCCTCCAGGACCCTCTTGAGCTGTTCGAGGAACAATGTTTACTTGGAAAGGCAGACACCGAACTTGCTGCGCTCTGCCTCAATAGATATCTCCGTGACGGGCTAATGCCTGAGCCTCCCGCAAGCATATCCGTGCCTAAGGAGCTCAAGTGGAGCGCTGCCGACATTGTGTTAGACGGACTAAAGAGATCTGGAGTCGGTGAGCCGGCCGATGTACTGTCCAATCCAAAGCTTGCGCGGGCTGTTGCGGAGAGTTGGGCGATTGAGAACAAGGACCAGATGATTGTTCGGTGGTCCAAAATGGCCGGAAAGGAGACTTTAGTGGCGCGACAGAACATTTTGTTCTTCGGGCTTAGGAAGATCCTCAGTTTAAGAGGATGGGAGAGCGCCGTGGCGATGTTTATGGAGGTTTTGGACGGGCATCAGCAGGACAAGAGGTTCACAAGGAGGGAGTACTCTGGGGTGGGGGCTATGTTGTGTGAAGAAGGTGTGAAGGGCTTTGCGAAGCACCCATCATTCACAAAATTGATTTCCAAATCAACAGTGTGGGCAGTTAACTTGCAAATGAAGGCATGGATTCATTTAAGGTTCACACGTCGGGTAGACGTGGGGGTACTTTATTTTAAGAAATTAGCAGATCATTTGAGTGCTGGGGAGCAGCCAGCATTGAAGAGCTGGTATCGTCAGGATATAAAATTCCCTGTAAATCTGACGAGGGAGTGTTTAGTACAGGGAAGGATAGAGGATGCAGAGATGGTTAAGAATGTAGTGGAGAAGATCTTCTTCCACAGAGTGACCGAGGGGCATCTTGATGAGATGAGAAGGATGATCGAGCAGGCCAAAGCTGGAGGGGGGATGGGAGGGACGGGCGAAGAAGCATCAAAAGAGAGTGAGAACATTACCGATCTGCAAGGCATGATAAATGCACTTGGTTGATCGAATCGAACCTGGGTATCGAGTTTGTAAATTTCTTTGTTATGATTTCGATGTTTTGTGGGTAGGGTTGTAATTGCATTGACCTGCGCACAGTAGGGTACTGTGCCTGAGTGGGATTCTTATGGCCTGGGGCGTTTTATTTACGGCATACCTATCATTTCCTTTATTTTAGTATCATCATGGATTGTTTCTGCAATTTTTATCTTTATTTATTTCCTTCTTTTCTCTTTTCATTTCTGCTTGCACAATATTCTCAGATAGCTTTATATCCTTAAATATTACTTCAATTGTTCACCGTGTAATAATAAGCAACTATGTGCAGGCACCGAGCGCATGAAGTAAGAGATGCGACGGCCACATCTACCGAAGACATAACCCTCATCTCAGTTGTCATCGCGTTTCGTTTGATCCTTGGTTTTGACTCTTTATACCGCGCGTTACCATAACCATAACTGTAGCCGTAATAATCGTAAGCAGAACATCGATGCATGCATCTCCTTACTTTTACATGCCCGATCCCGGACGTTGGTACCTCCGTGCACTGAGTCCCCAGGTTATGTACGGTATGGACATGGGACTGGCATTGAAGACTCACCGCGGATGTTGAATAGTTTCTTCAGATACTGTAAGTTACAGTGCTTCCATAGGTACATCTAACTATCCAAGTACATATAGTTAATGATTAGAGAACACATACTCAGTGGCTGATTGTTTCTATTATTTCCCTTTATTTGTTTATTTCGTCTCTCAGCCATGCTCCATAATCATCCCCATGGTTCAGCCCGGACGACTATCACTCTTACTTGGCCTCAACAGGACAGAGTTATGGTAGAGTAGAGTAGGCACGCAGCAACGCAACAACGAGGCTGCACATGCATGCATGGAAGACGTGTCAGCTATCCTCGAACGAGTTGA